CTTAACCCCCTCTGGGTGCGATACATGTGTCCCACGAGCGTGGCCGAAATTGCTGAGCGTGGGCGTATATGATGATGGATGACTGAGGCGTCAGGGACCGCGGTGAGAGACCATCCCTTGCGCACCCCCTACGGTGTCGAGAAAGTGCCACGCCTGCCAAGCCTGCGCACCCCCTATGGTGCCGAGCAAGTGCCACGCCTGCTATAGAGACCGCAGCGAGAGACCACCCCCTGCGCACCCCCTATGGTGTCGAGAAAGTGCCACGCCTGCTATGCCAGGACGACTGGGACGTATAGAGACCGCAGCGAGAGACCACCCCCTGCGCACCCCCTATGGTGTCGAGAAAGTGCCACGCCTGCTATGCCAGGACGACTGGGACGTATAGAGACCGCAGCGAGAGACCACCCCCTGCGCACCCCCTATGGTGTCGAGAAAGTGCCACGCCTGCTATGCCAGGACGACTGGGCGTATAGAGACCGCAGCGAGAGACCACCCCCTGCGCACCCCCTATGGTGTCGAGAAAGTGCCACGCCTGCTATGCCAGGACGACTGGGCGTATAGAGACCGCAGCGAGAGACCACCCCCTGCGCACCCCCTATGGTGTCGAGAAAGTGCCACGCCTGCTATGCCAGGACGACCGTATAGAGACCGCAGCGAGAGACCACCCCCTGCGCACCCCCTATGGTGTCGAGAAAGTGCCACGCCTGCTATGCCAGGACGACTGGGACGTATAGAGACCGCAGCGAGAGACCACCCCCTGCGCACCCCCTATGGTGTCGAGAAAGTGCCACGCCTGCTATGCCAGGACGACTGGGACGTATAGAGACCGCAGCGAGAGACCACCCCCTGCGCACCCCCTATGCGAGAAAGTGCCACGCCTGCTATGCCAGGACGACTGGGACGTATAGAGACCGCAGCGAGAGACCACCCCCTGCGCACCCCCTATAGTGCCACGACCGCTGCCACGCCTGCTATGCCAGGCCGACTGGGACGTATAGAGACCGCAGCGAAAGACCACCCCCTGCGCAACCCCTATGGTGTCGAGAAATTGCCACGCCTGCTATGCCAGGCCGACCGGGACGTATAGAGACCGCGAGCGAGAGACCACCCCCTGCGCACCCCCTATGGTGTCGAGAAAGCGCCACGCCTGCTATGCCAGGACGACTGGGAGGACTGGTGTCGTCTTGTGTGTGCGAGTGTGTGCATGCGTGCGGCTGTATGTAGACGCGTGTCGCCGAGACGTGCTGTGCTGTGCTCTGCTGAGCTGTGCTGTGCTGTCCTATGCTGTGCTGCGGTCTGCTGTGCTGTGCTGTGCTGTGCTGTGCTGTGCTGAGGAGGAGGAGGAGGAGGAGGAGGAGGAGGAGGAGGAGGAGGAGGAGGGGAGGAGGGCGCGGGTGTGAGACGCGGGCGCGGCGCGGCAGGGAAGAAAACCAGAACCCCACGAAGCATGTGGGGAATAATAATACTTCCACGATTCCACTCACGCCCAAAGTTCCATCTCCGTCATGAGCACTGCAACTACTAGAGCTCGGCAACCCAGAAAGTATTCGGCTTCGAAGAAAGCCCCACAAGGGCAACGAACACCCGAGTCCTCGTCCTGCTCCTCCCTCCTCCTCCTCCTGCCTCCCCCTCCTCGAGTGTACATGGTCGACCTCCTGGCCCTCCAGCCCGACTGCGCCAGCCCGGTGGCCAACCCCCTCCTCTTCCTTCCAGGCAGGCAGGCCCTCATGATGTGTGAGGGTCCTGAATCCATAGTAGCCTTCGCAGGGGTCGTTTTTCGGCACCTCGTCTTTAGGACTTGGGAGTGGGAGCCCCAAGCGCCCCAACCTTGCCATACCTTACCTTACCTCCTCATTATTCCTCCCCTCTCTACTGTACTTGTTCAGCCTCCTGGCCCTGCTGTTCGACTGCCCAACCTCCTGGTCCTCCTCCTCCTCCTCCTTCTCCTCGCTCTCCTCTTCCCTCCTCCTCGACTATGCATGGTCAGCCTGATGGCCCTCCTGTTCGACTGCGCCAACCCGATGGCCAACCTCCTGGTCCTCCACCTCCTCCTCACTGGGCCCTGGGGTCGCTTCACAAGACAAAGTGCAGCGTTGGGCGGGAATCTATCAACATCCCGCCGGCCACTGCGCGCGGCCACTGGCCGTCCCGCCTGCGACGGCGACCCCCCAGACACTAGTCGGCTCAAACCAGCTCGGCCCTAAAGACAACAACAGTCCGCCAACGCACCCGCGACCTTCAGCACACCATCCCTACCATACGACAAACATGTAAACTCTGCGGCGTCGGATTTCTTGAACCGGAGGGTGGTGTCTAGTGAGGGGGTGGCCCACAAGTAACTTCTGTAGAGCTCCTGCGGAGCCGAAAAGTATTGCTGCCATTGCGGGTACCGGTGGCGATTACGGCAACGACGATGCCGAGAGCCAAAGGCGACGATCGACACAAACTGGCATGTTTTGTACAACTTCCGCAAAATTCACGGCATCACACACAATCTCTCCTTCTTGCCCTGTGGCTTCTGCAAGGGCGTCACGCTACTGTTGTCATACCAGTACCCTCCCCAGTACACGAGTTGTGCCTGCCGTGGGTCGAAGCAGCAACATATACTCTGCGAATACTGTTTCGGCGTTAGCCGCAATTTGCGTTCGTCCGAGGAGCCTGCTTTGCAGTAGCTGGGCATGCCCCGCTTCGGGCACGACAGAGTGGGCTTGTCCCGGTGGCAAAGAGCAATCATGGTGAGCAGCCAATCCGTTTCCTCGAACCTCTTAGTGTTGTGCATGGATGTAAAGATTATTGGAAGGCCATCAGGGTACCAGCTGGCATCCCAGTAAAGTGTCCTGTCCATGTCCTTGCCCTGGGCGAACAAACCAAATTCGAGGTCATACTTGCACCACTGCTTGGTGACGTCGTCGCGCCAGAGCGCAATATTAAGCATGTCCTCGTCCTCTTGCATGAACTGTGCGAAACGCACCTCCCGATCGATCTGATTGCGTTGCCGAAAGACAGTCAAGAGCCCATCTGCAATAGCAGCTTTCAAGTTCCATACTTTTATTACAGACTTGCCTGCTTGCGCAGCCTTGAACCTCTCGTACAGCATGTCACAGAGAAAAGCCAAAGCCCAGTACGACCACGAAGGATGTGCGTGACCCCAACGCATGGTTCTCTGGCCCCCCCAAGCCGACATAGGGTATGCATACTCGTGGTAGGGCTCTCCCTTTTTCGCGTCACGGGACATCCAATGAACCGGCATGAGTGGCCAAGGGAAGTGGGCTGTGATCTCCCTGCGTGTCCCCGCGAAGAGGTCATCGAAGCCAGGAGCTATAATCTGATCTGTGTCGAGCTCGATACCGTAGCGAACGCGCGTGGCAATCATCGCCCGGATCTTATTAAAGTCTACCGGCCACCTATGTGGAAGCCACCATTGTGCGAAGCATGATTTGCATACGTCAAAGAGGTCGCGAGACATTATCTTCGTTGCGTGTGCGAGGGACTCAGAACTCTCTTTCTCCTCACATCTACCTGGCGCCTTTAGGTTGCCCTGGAAGCCTCGAGGCCAGGGGGCACTAGGCTGGGTCACCCAATTCCGCCCGGCACGCCGCGCGAATCGCGCTGATGTTCACGCTCTCGTGCCGTCCCTAGGAGAAGGATGAATCGCTGTTCCAGGCCGCGAGGCGCGAAGCGCGATTTATCTACGCGCCCGGCGACTGACCTGGGCCAAGTGCCCGACACAGAGGAGCCTCTGGGAAACGACTTGGCAACATTACATTGCGCAGCACCGCTTAACGCCGCTCACTGACGGGCGCGGTGCTGCCCCGCGGTGGGCGGTGATGCGCGGTGTAGTGCGGAATTGAGCGGTGTTGCGCGATGTTGCGCGGCTGTGTTGCTCTGGCGAGCTGCGAGTTTGAATTTCCAAGAAGCTCCTATGCATAATGCATCGGACACGTAACCTACGTAGGGGGCAACGGGGAAAGATCAGCTTCCTGGAGGCGTGCCTGGACAACCTTTACAAGGGCCTCCGAGACGGTACAGCCAGACCCAGAGCAGCCCAACAATGTGCAAAGGTACTCAGACTTCGTCCAGGGTGTGCAAGCGCCAACGGGCACCCGAGTCATCGCTGTGCCAACGCAGTCTGGCACAGGGACGAGAGAGCAGAGCACTCGACATGCAATCTGATCCTGAAGTGGCAAATATTCTCGAGGTGCCCTGCAGGCCTCTCCTCTTTCCGCGCGTCTCGGTCCCCTGAGAGTTCAAAAGAGATCCGAGCCCCCCCTTGTAACATATCATGTCTGATGGCTGTGCTGAACTGTAGTGTCCCGATGCTTCGTATGAGCTGATAGGGTTCTGAGGCTTCCGACTGATCTCAAGCACTAACAATACTGTACTACCTCTCGATTGTCCTAGGAAGTCCACAGGGGGCCTTACGCCTTACGACCACCCAAAGAGGCCCTCATGAAGACCAGATTATTGCAGATAAAGCTGACATGTACCTTAGATGAACCTTCCAAGGTGATCACAAGAGGCTCGAAGACGAGACACTATGCTCCAATCTGAGATCACAAGGTCGCAATCCTACGCCTAGACTTCCCCGAGAGCCTCGAAGGGGCCTGGGTGCATGACACCGCCCTCTGGATGATCTCAAGAAGTCCAAGGAAGCCTCGAGATATATTCTCATGCCTTGGAGAGGGCCTGGCTTGAAAGAGGCTTTGACGGGCTCCGGCGTGGTCCTGCGAGGCAGGCTGCTGGCCCTGAAGTGAGCCCCAGAAGACTCCCGCAGAGACCTCCGCGAAGCCGCAGCATGCCGCATGCCTGCCGTTGCTCTGCGGGCCTGGCTCAGACACTCCCCCCCACTGGCCCAGACCGCCCCACGGCCTCCATCCCGGTCCTGACCCGGGCGGCCCGATCAACCCCAGGGCGTGGACCGCACAGCCGATCGAGGATTCCTGATCGATCGTCCCGAATCCATGATCGACCGATGGATCGACCAAATGGTGCGCCTAAACGAACGATGATCGGCGGATCGAAGTCTCTGTAGGTATTGTGTTCAGCCGTGTCCGTGCGAAGGCCCTTCGGGCCCAACTTACCCCGAGTAGTCCCGATGAGGCCACCCAGACGCCACGCGGCGGCCATTGGGGAGTCAAAGGAGCTTGAGAGAACATGGAATGGAACATCTGGCCCCTGAGATGGAACCGATGTTTCGGAAGTTGCTCAAAGGAGACCCTTCCATAGCTCAAGAAGACGTCATTGCAGTGGTCCTCATGACTACCTCTCAAAGCCTGCAAGATGATATCAACATTGAGCGCGCTACACTGTCTGGGAAGGCTGCACTGGGGGCGGTGATGCAGGCTGGAAGCCATGGTATTGAAAGAGACTGATGAGGTTGGGATTGGCAACATCTTCATTACAATTACGTTTGGCATTCTGTGCCAGGACATCGGTGGAACAAAGTACGAGCCCTCAAAGTTGTACACAACCACTATGATGGGCCGAGAGGAGAAGACGTCCACGGATCGCACCAAATTCACTGCCTGCCACTCGTACTTCGAGTCCCGTTGGCCGGCAACGTAGGTGACGTACGCCTCGTCGATCCACTCGGTCTCGTCTGAGGTCCACCGCAGGTACCTAGGGCTCCCAACTTTGCGCTTCGCGCTGCGCGAGGCGCGAATAACTTCGCGCTCTCGCGCCGCCCCCAAAAAGGGAGAGAAGGAGGACGAGGAGGAGGGGGAGAAGGAACGAGGACCGCGAAGCACGAAGCGCGAATAACTTCGCGCCCTCGTGGGAGCCCTGGGGTACTGGGGGAGAAACTCGCAGTCGATGTAGACGTCCAGAAGCGCCCGCGTCTTTGGGTCGCCGCAGATGGCGCCGGCCGCCGTGTCCAGGACCCCCTGGGCCTCGGCGTGCGCGTGCCCCGCGGCGGGCACGCGTGGCCTTGAGGAGCTCTGGCACGACCAGAGCAGGTCGTGCTCCACGAAGCCGCCGCAGAGGCCACCGCGGGGCAGCGCGGCTCTCTCGGCCGGGGCGCGCAAGGCGTGGCTGGGGGCGCACGCGGCCCGGCAGTGGTAGTCCCCGTACCCCGGGCAGTCCTCGGGGTCCTCCTTCTGCCCGTTCTCGCACGGGGCGTCCTCCTTCATCGCCGGGGCGGCGGCCTTCATCACCGACACCGTGATCCTCGCCGTGTCGCGGGTGTTCTCCAGCCAGTAATACAGCCTGGCCGCCTCGACCAGCTGGCGATACACGGCGGGCTCCTCGATCCAGGAGGCGACGTGCTCCTTCAGCAGCCACAGGTTACCCTCGGGCGCAACGTGGCCATAGTGGCCAGCTTCGCCAGAAGACGGCCCGTCTGAGTCTTTGGCGCCTTCAGCCTGAGCTTCTTCCAGCGCCACGTCCAGGGTGATCTGCAACGCGCTCTCGTTCACTAATTCGCGGATGCCAGCGTTATCCCCCATCTTTTCGTAACACTGGCACTGCTTGATCATACCAACGGCCACATCTACACCACCCCAGGCTTTGAGAGTACAGGGGATCTCGCGGACCCCATCCTTGGACAACCAAGTTTTCTCAGTGTGTCCATAGCGGATCTGCTGACTCGGGCACTTGCAGCTCTCACCCTCGATTGCGCAGGTAGCCCAGCCCGCCGAAGTGTCGCTGTCGGTCAAGTTCCGCAGCAGCGCGGCGACCTCAGAGATTCGGGCATGATGGAACCAGTGCTTGAGCACATCCATGGCGTACACCTCCTTGGACAAAACGTAAACCAAGACAGACATAACCAGACTGTCGGAGGTCCGAGTGGATCTCTTTGATCGGCGCTGCCCCCCTCGAGCGCGCGGAGCGCGCCAGGGGCGGCGCCGGAGGCGCCGCCCCAGGGGCCAAGCGCAGATTCGAGAAATCCGCGCGGAACCTCTAGAGTTAAGGGGGTTTTGGGCGAAAAAGTAAGAATAGTCCAACATATACCAAACATGTGCAAGAATATTCAAAACATCGTTCCCTGACTATTTGTTTGACTATGTTTGAAGATTCCCCCTGTAGAGGGACTGGCCCGACTTAATTCTAGAGTTTCTGTCTGTGTGTAGCTGTGTCTCCCTCGACTCCTGGAAGGTGGCCACGTCCCTGACCCACCCGGCCAGGCTGCGCCGCAGCTGCCATACGAGCTTGCCCCCCGGAGTCGCGGGGATGACCTCGGTCAGCGTCGTGGTCGTCGAGCCCCGGCCCTTCACGCGGAGGCCCCCGCGCAGGGCCAGAGGCAGCAGAGGCTCGTCGTCCAGGGAGGACACGGCCATGCTGGCGTGCTGCCGGACCACCGCCAGGCCCCCCAGGAAGAAGACGGCGAGCAGCAGGCGTACAAAGCCCGCTGGCGTCGGGTCCTGGGAGGATGGGGGGGGCCTGCAGATCTCCCCGGGTCGTGCAAGAATCGCGACGGACGGGCGCGGGTCTATTTCTGCCTCTCGGGGCACCACGACAATCAGAAACGACACGGGATGAGAAGCCAGTCCTGGGGAAGTGGTCTCTGAACTTCCAGGTGTCGACGCGTGCAAAAATCGCGACGTCGGAGGTTTGGGCCGATACCCCCCCCTGACCTGGCCCGGAGCGCACTCTGGCTAGGACTCGAGCGCGGATCCGGCCGCCACGAGGAGGGCCTCCACACCCTTCCGGGAGGCCCGAAGAAGACGAGGAGGAGAGAGGGGCCGGCTCATCGGCATCGGTTTGCGCCTTCCTCCCAATGGGCGGGTCCAGAAGCTGACGTAGGCCGCGTCCCAGGAAGGCGAGGGGCCCCAGGCCCGCGGCGCTCTTCCGCGCAACCATGGCTCGCAACCTGGGTTGCACGAAACAGGGATCATCGGCAAGAGTGACCTTTGGCGCGCAGCTTTAGGAGTGTGCTGGGGGGGCAAAACACAGGCGGCCGATGCTATCGCACCGCGTTCAGCAGTCGGGGGACCCCAGTGGGCCCGGACCAAAGGTCGCCCTGGCGAAGGCACTTTCGTGTAATCGGGCAACCCCGCAGTGCGGATCTCAGCAGGCCGGGGCTCTTCCGCGCTCGCCCGCAGACATCGCGGCGAGCCGGTGCCCCCCGAGCGAGGCCTGGCGGGACGCCCGCGGCCGCGGACAAAATCGGTTGAGCTGGAGATGCGGCGGGAGTTGCGCGGGGCAGCAGCGCTGTCGGCTGCACGCAATACGCACGAGTGACCCTGGTCAGCAGTTTCCTTTGGTGCGAGGCTTCAGGGAGCCGCGGGGGGGCCAAGTCCGAGCGCGCCAGCCACCAGGGGGATCCCTCTTGGCCCGCACCAAAGGTCACTCTGGCACAGGGTCACTCTAACACGTAGCCGACCCTGGATAGGGTGCGGAACATCGGGTAGAAGAAGAAGAAGAGGAGCAATGCCACAAACATACACTCTTAGCGCTCCGCACGGATTTCTTGGATCCGCGCTGGGACCCCTCTCCCCGGCGCGCGGAGCGCGCCGGGGGCGGCGCCGGAGGTGCCGCGGGGGGGGGCCCAGGCGGCGGCCGAGATAGCCGCGCGGAGCGCAAAAAAGCTTACGTTTATGTTTTCTTTTGCTTCTTCTGCGACCGTCGAGGGGTGCGGAACATCTGGGTCACCGGACTCGGCGTCACCGGACTCTGCGAGTCGCGCCCCGCAAGGCGCGGCGCGCGGGGATGCTTTCGTGCGCTCGCGCCGCCTCCGCCGGAGAAGGGCAGCTTTTCGGCGGCCCCTGCCGCGGGGCGCGGGGCGCGGGGCGTGGTGGTCGTCGGCGCGGGGCGTGCGTGGTCGTCGGCGCCCCTGCGGGTGGCCTGAGGTGTATCCTGTTGTTGCCTCGGACGGCAACGCCACTGAACAGGGCTGATCCGAAAGGGTGTTTTGCATGTTCGTTCTGTTGTTCGTTCTTCCTCACTGTGCCTTCGATTCGCCTTGAATGCAACGCAGAACGAAAAACAAAGCGGCCCACGAGATGGCCAAAAGTTCGGTTAGGTCAGCCGTGCCACTGAGTTCCAGCAATCTGCACCACTGGGAAATGCAGAAAGCCTCTGCACGAGAGGCTCCTCGAGAAAGAACCGCGCGAACAAAAGGCATGTGTCTAGGGGGGCGGGGGGCGGCGAGGAGGGGCTCCCCTCGCAACAGCAGTGGCCGGGAATACGCCGGGCTGCCAGCGAGGGCCCAGCAACACCGCTCGTCGGAGCGAGAGCGGCGCCATCTCCAGTTCGACAGTGAAGAAGAAGAAGACCGTGGAACAATAATGTGGCCCAATGACGTGGCAGAGCAGTCACGGGTCGTCTCCGCGGCATCCGCGGGAGGAAGATCGTGCGGCGCCAGAAATTGATCCCCCCCCTGCCCCTCAATTCCCCTCCACCTGCCTCAACCCGGGGGTTGAAGGGATCACTGACCAGACTGCCAGGTCTGCGAGCGGGCCGACTTTGAACAGTCCTTGTGCCGAGGAGGGACTGCCAGAAGGGGACGCCCGTCGCCTGGGGAAGGCACAGCTCGCAGCCTGTTGCTGCTGGTTGCCAGCGAGGGCGCGCCCTGGCTAGCAACCCACATCAGGACTGTGCACGAGTGGCGCCAGGGAGAAGACGGTCGGGGACGTCGGCACGGGGGACAGGCAGTAAAGCAGGCACCTACAGACGGTGCGTGGATGACAAGCGGCAGGGCGTACGAGCGCATCGCCTTCGGCCAAGCGCCGCACGAGCAGCGCTTACCACCCTCCAAGATAACATGGGCAACGGAGGAAGAAATACTAGATACGATAAGAGTATCATTGACGCTTCATGTCTTTGGGTATTGGACTACAGAGCGTCGGCGAGGCACACCCACGGCATGCCGACAGAAGACGGAGGAAGAAAGAGGGGCAGCTGGAAGGGGAGCAAAGAAGGAAACAGACCAGATCCGTAAACACGTTCACGCTTACACGTGAGCGGGGAAAGTGGGACCAGCAGGAGGGATAGAGGGAGGCACAGGTGGTGGGTCATCATCTCGCCCCCCATGGGGCCCTGCCCCCGCAGGCCCCGCGAGGGGCCTCCGCCCGGGCACCTGCGGAGGCCGCCCCTCTGGCGGCCTCTGCCTCGGGCCTCTGCAGCCCTTTCTTCCTCTGCTTGCGGAGAGGAGGAGGAGGAGGAGGAGGAGGAGGAGGAGGAGGAGGAGGAGGAGGAGGAGGAGGAGAGGAGGAGGAGGAGGAGGAGGAGGAGGAGGAGGAAGAGGAGGAGGAGGAGGAGGAGGGGGAGGGGGACGATGATGATGATGATGAGGAGGAGGAGGAGGAGGAGGAGGAGGAGGGGTGACGTGAGTCAGGGGGGGGAGAGAAGGGAGGCGAGGAGAGGAGGCGCGGAGAGGCGACTGGAGGGCGGGGACGTCAGGATTTCTCAGAGGCTCGCAGGGGCTGATGCGAGTGCACATGTCCAGTTCGCCGAGTGCTCAGCATCTCAGTGCTGCTGATGATGATGATGATGATGATGATGATGATGATGATGATGATGATGATGATGATGATGATGATGAGACTAATGCTGCATATGAGGATTATGATTATGAAGATGATAATGCTTATGATGGTGCTGATGATGAAGATGGTGATGCTGATGGTGATGATGATGCTGATGATGATGACGGACCCAGTGCCTTTCTCCCGATGTGCTCAGACCATCGGAGAGACATCACCAGGCCCGTCGGATGCTGCGGCCGTACGCCTCCAAGCGTGATGGGCCACGTGCTGAAGAGGGAAGGTCCACGCAACAGATACGCTCAACTGCGCAGTGATAGCCACGCGTGCAAGAGGCAATCTGTCGTGAGCCCGACGAAGTCAGCTGTCACGAACGGTGCCCGCAATACGAGCCCAACGTGGGTCGCACCTGGACCTCGAGCCCTCCAGGATGCCTACAAGCAACTTTCCGGCTACAATCCGAATCTCAAAGAGAGCTCTCGCTTGACAAGCCAAGTTCCGCTCAACAGTGCCATAACTGTCTGGTCCTTCGCACATTGAACGCTGACACTGACGGCAACATGGTGAAGGACATGCACCTCTGAACAACAGAAGGGAGGGAGGAGGAGGGAAAAGGTGAATGGGATGGCGGGAGGGCAGTAGGGGTGAACCCAATCCAATCCTCCCCGTTATTGTCCTCCTCGTCGCCGTCCTCGACCTACTCCTTCAACTCTTCCTCCATTCTTCGTCCGTGCTTTCATTCTCGCCGTCGTCGTCGTCGTCGTCCTCATCCCTCATCCTCCTTCTCCTCGGGAGAGGAGATGTATGCCGTGAGCGCTGGAGGAAGGAATCTGGAGTCTCGTGGCAGAGGACAGCTCCGACTGGCTACCTGGCAACTCGAAACAGTCTGCTCATTTGGCGGATTCCGGAAACCCTGAACCCAAAAGGGCGCATTTTTTACTTCCACCGCCTTCCGCCCGCCTTCCACCAGCTTCCGCCGGCGGACGCGGCCCCGTCTTGGCCGCCGCCTTTCGCCGAGGAAGAGATGGCAGCCCCTTCGATTCTCGAAAGCAAGACAATTTTTAGAAGACTCCATATGTGTCTCGAGGGGTCAACACATTGCAATCGAGACCTTGCCATTGGAGTCAAACTTGTGGTGACCACAAAAGCCGATAGCAACCCATCGGTGGCTGGCCGCGCGAGAGAACAACGAATGGAAGCCAGCATCAGGACCGAGGCCGAGTCAGGCCCTGGAGAGGAGTGACCCAGGCTGGAGAGCGGGGTAAGAGACGGTCGGCGCAGAGGGAAGGAAGGCAGGGGAGTCAATTCTGCGGCTGCCCTGCGGAGGAGAGGCCGGGTGGAAAGCCCACTGTGCTGGAGAAGGGCTCCCGTCAGGCGTACTCATCAGGAATACTTCTGCTAACGCATGGGGGAGGAGGACGAGGACGAGGAGCAGGAATGAGAAAGGGCTTGGCTCCTCGGGGTGGCTTCACTCGCCCTTCGCCCCCGTCGTAGGGGGGAGGGGCAAGACTTGAGTGTCCCGAAACCGTGCAGTGACAGACCGTGCGGTGGCCTCGAAATACCCAAAGACCTCACCGCACGGTCCGCCACCGCACGGTTTGGAACCCTATATACAAGCCCCAGCCGACCCAGAAGTCCCAAAACCATGCGGTCACCCTAGATCCACGCCGACTCCCCACACGGTGTGGTCACAGCACGGTTTGGGCCCCCCCCCGAAGAAAGACGGTGCGAAGGCGAGGATGGGAAGGCCGGGGGAAGGGAGCCGAGACCCGCATCGGCGGGGCAGCCATGGCCCGCGCGGGCGGCGAAGCCTCCTCGTACCTCTCGAGGGCCTCCGCCTTCTTCCCCTCGCGCACGAGGCCGTTCCCCTCCTCCTTGAGGGCCTCGGCTTCGGCAGCCACGGGCCGCACCCCCCCCCTGAGACGCAAGCTCGGAGTGCCTCGAGTGGCACCCCGTAGGCACGCTTGCTGAGGTCAGGCGCCTCAGCGGCAGTTGTCGGCCCAAGTGCTCCACGCAGTTCGCTGTCCCAAACACCATTGCCGCCGATACCTTCATGTCCCTCAAAGCCGCGACGTCCTTCTTCGTATCCAAGGCTGTGTCTGCTAAAGCTTTGCCTCTGCAGATGCATCAATTCCACAGCAGTTCGCCTTGCATGCCGCTCTGTCTCGCCCCCCCCCTTGCCTCCACTGGCAGCGCCCCGACGTCGTCACGTTTGTGTCACAGCGTGGAACCCCCGAGGCCTGGACCCCTCTCTCCGGGACCAGTCTTTCATCCCGAATAATTTGTCGACGGTCCCCGGGCCAGCTGAGGGCCCTCAGGATTCGAAAATTGCCCAAACCAACGACGGCCCATTGAGATACCACAAACGAGGCGCACTCCAAGGTGGTAGGACCGAGCTCAAAAATTTATCAAAGGACATACTCCTCGAAAGCGAAGGCGGGCCTTGACCTTCGTGCCATCTACAGCTCTCTGGCACCCTCGTCGTGCGGCTCTCCTCCTGCCAGCTGAATGGCCTCCTGCCTCGACGGAGGGGGCGAATCCGACACCCAACCTTCGAGGGTGAGGCGTGATTCGGCCAGCGCTGCGTAATCCGAAAGCCGGAATAGGGCGGCCTCTGTTATTGTTTGCCCGCCCTATGTCACGGCTGTCACGGAAGGGCTCGTTGCTTGAGCCCCTCGGTCACAAAAGGGTTCGTCCTGCGAGTTCTTCCGCCGCGGGAGCGCTCGCTTCGGCTGCAGACGATAGACAGGGAGGAAAGATGCGGAGGCGGCGGGGGAGGAAGAGGGGAGAGGGGGGGGGGAGAGCGAAGCGGGAGGGAGAGGAGGACGACGACAGCAATGATGGCAGCACTGACACGGAAGCGTGGACCCTCGGCCTCACCCAGCCCTCTGGAGGCCTCGTCGGAAGACTGACATCGGGGCGCCCTCGGCCCAGAGGGCCCCGCTGTTCTAGGAAGGGGCACGGTCCCCACCCCCACCCCCCAAAGCAGCCCAGACCAGTGTGGCCGCCAACGGACACCACAAGGGAAATCATATTTTTCGTACGCCTGGATTGGCATGGCTTCGTAGCGAGATTGAGGTCTCGGAATTCTCCCCACGAACAACGTTCATTGCGTTTCAAAACCGCTCTTCACCGACTAGCGACGAGAGCAACGTGTCAGCGGTGGACCGCGATGTCGGTGAGATCCGTGGTCGCAGTGTCAGCGAGAACTGCATGCACCCATCAACACACACATATATATATATATATATACGTATGTGTATCATCGGAAGGGAGGTCGAGGTGGAAGCGTTAGTGAAATGAAAGAAGGGGGAGGAGTTGAACAACGCGCTGGCCCAAGGCGGGCGGACCTGCAAACCAATTCAACAGACTCACGTCGCCCAGAGACGGGTCTTTCATCTCGCGCCGCTTTCTGATGGCGCGGGGCCCCGACAACGGCACCCAGAGTTGAAAAACGCCAGGATTGCAAACATCAGTCCGCCAGGGTCCGCCAACAAAGCAATACCCCAAAAATGGCCAAGGTCCCCGAAGAATCACCTCAGGCGGGCACTGGCCAGAATCTCGAAGGGAATCTGGCCGTGCATGGTGGCGAGGAGCCTCCCGGAATTCCAAAGCGAGCGAATCACGCCCGAACATCTCGATCCTCGAGCCTCGATCCTCGGTGCTCGGCGGCGCGCTGAGGGGACAGGCCCTCTTCAGAAGCCGCTGGGGCTTCTCGGAGGCCATCCGCCGTTGATGAGACGCCCCCTGCGGCGTCGGAGAAGGCTTAGGAAACCTCTCAGAAGGCCGGGTCCCTCTGAGCGCTCTGAGAAGGCCCGGCCCTTCTGCCTTCAACGCTGTCATTTTGGTGCTGCCTTGGGCAGAAGCATGGTCGAGAACGTTTGCTTAGCGTGTCGCCACGGCGGCCCCGGCCACACGCTATGCCCTACCAACGGATGGCGTGTCGCTCCGCTCCGCGGGACGGGAGGCTCGGCAAAGCTCGGGACGTGGACGCCCGGGGACCGGGAAGTGGATAGCGTGTCGCGCCGAAACGTGGTAGGCCAGAACTGGCGGCGCGACGCGCTATCCAGAAGTTCCCGACCGCGTGATTAGAAAGAGCACAAATGCGCCATCCCTCCAGGCGCGCCGCCGAGGTGTGCCCCCCCCCCCCCTGCCCCCGCGGCTGTGCCTTGGCGCGCGCCCGCCGGGCTTCTGGGTCCATCGCCAGCGCCGCGGGGCGGGCCCCGAAGATGGCCGGCCCAGGAGGCTCCGCCCCCCTCCCCCCCTCCCCCGCCACTCCTGCACCCTCCTCGCTCCTCCTTCCCCCCATCCCTCTCGCTGGTCCTCGCCCCTCGGCCTTCCTCCTCCTCCTCCTCCTCCTCCTCCTCCGCCTCCTCCTGCACCTCCTCCTCCTCCGCCTCCTCTCCTCCTCCTCCTCCTCCTAACCTCCTCCTTCTACCTCTCCTCCTCTTCCGCCTCCTCCTCCTCTCCTCCTCCTCCTCCTCCCTCCTCCTCCTCCTCCTCCTCCTCCTCCTCCCCCCTCCTCCTCCTCGACCTCTTTGTCCTCCCCTCCTCCTCCTCCTCCTCCTCCCCTCCTCCTCCTCCTCCTCCTCCTCCTCTCTCCGCAAGCAGAGGAAGAAAGGGCTGCAGAGGCCCGAGGCAGAGGCCGCCAGAGGCCGCTCCTCTCCTCCTCTTCCTCTGTCCCTCCTCCTCAACCTCCTCCTCCTCCTCCGCCCTCCTCCTCCTCCTCCTCCTCCTCCTCCTCCTCCTCCTCCTCCCCCTCCTCCTCGACCTCCTCCCCCCCTCCTCCTCCTCCTCCTCCTCCTCCTCCTCCTCCTCCTCCTCCTCCTTCTCCTCCTCCTCCGCCCCCCCACCTCCTCTCGCCCTCCCTCCTCCCTTGCGCCCATCGCCCGCTGCTCCCACCACTCCCCACGCGGGAAATCTGCCCCCTTTGGTTGCGAGGGGGGGGCAGGCCTCCTTCGGCCTCGGTTTCGCCAGCCCGAACGGCGGCGGCACCGGCCGCAGGGCGGGGCCCGGCGCAGGCGCGCGCGAGGCCCTCCGGGCTGGTGCGGCGGCGAGGCGGTGAGTTTCAGCTGGCTGCTGCCGCCTGCCCTGGACGGGCCTCCAGGACGAGGCTGAGGAGGGCGAGAAGGAGGGCGAGAAGGAGGGGGAGGAGGAGCGAGGATCCTCGCTCCTCCTCCTCGAGGGGAGGGGAGGGTAGGAGAGGAGGAGGAGAGGGGAGGAGGAGCGAGATCCTCTCGCTCCTCCTCCTCGAGGGAGGGGGAGGGTAGGAGGAGGAGGAGGAGGAGGAGGGGGAGGAGGAGGAGGAGGAGGAGGAGGAGGAGGAGGAGGAGGAGGAGGAGCGAGGAGGAGGAGGAGGAGGAGAGGAGGAGGAGGAGGAGGAGGAGGAGGAGGAGCGAGGAGGAGGAGCGAGGAGGAGGAGGAGGAACCAGAAGCGAGGAGGAATCAGGAGGAGCGAGGCGGATAATCGAGGGCGAGGAGGAGAGAGAAGCGAGAAGGAGCGATGAGAAGGAAGAGACTGAGTGGGCAAGAAGAGAGATAGGGGGGGGGGGACAAGCGGGACTCCTAGGGGGAGAGAGAGAGAGAGACCGCGCACTTTGATGCTCGAGCCGCATCGGGCGGCGGCGTGGGATGCTCTGAATATTTGAGTCAGTTACAGCGACCGAGGACAACGATGTTTAAACAACGCTGGTGTCTTGAACAGAAAACAAAAGCTGAGCCGAACGCTCAAAACGAACGTTTGGAACGAAACTGGCGCCAAATAAAAACGACACTGAAGCAGAGCGTAACGGAACAACAACAAACAACGAAGCGAACAACAAAACACGGTCCAACACTAAGCTAAACAGCGTTGTGCTCGGTCCCTGATTCAATAGGATCGGGCCGACGGTGGCGTGGTCTGAAGTGTTTAGGCATGTTGGGATCTGCCCTGGAGGCGGAATTCAGCTCGAAGAGAACGTCCAACTGGCAATCGAACGCACACGGCCCATGGGAGTCGGGCTCATCCCTGGTTCCAATCATTCCATGTGGAAGAGGTGGCGCGTCTTAGTGTCACGAGACGTACAGGCCGGCAGGAGTGGCCAAGTGTGTCGGCACTTCAGGAAGTTTAGCGCCTAGACGGAGGAGCGCGAAGCACGCGAAGGAGGAGGAGGAGGCGGAGGATGATGAGGAGGCGTATGAGTAGGAGGTGGATGAGGAAGTGGAGGAGGAGGAGGAGGAGGAGGAGGAGGAGGAGGAGGAGGAGGAGGAGGAGGAGGAGGGGGAGGAGTAGGTGGTGGAGGAGGAAGTGGAGGTGGAGGTGGAGGTGGAGGTGGAGGTGGAGGTGGAGGAGGAGGAGGAGGAGGAGGAGGAGGAGGAGGAGGAGAGGGAACGGAGGACGGGGTGGAGGCCGAGGATCACGAGGATCGCATGGGGCGCGCCGGCGCGAGGAGGCACCGCCAGCTGGCCCCGTGCCCGCCTGCGGGCTGTGGCCGAGGATCACCAGCGAGCCGAGCGGCAGGGCCTTCAGCTCCTGCCAACGGGCCGCCGAGCGGGAGGGCTCCCGCCTGGCACCCCCATCGCCCCCCTCTCGCGCGCCCCTCCCCTTTGCCTTCCGCCGCCCCTCACCCTCCTCTCCTTCCTCCCTCCCGTTCTCCCTCCCTCCCTTGCCCTCGTCCTCTCTCCCTCTCCTTCCTCGTTCCCCTCCTTCCCTTCCGCCCCCTCTCCCCAGGAGGAGGAGGAGGACGACGACGACGAGAAACGACGGGGCGCCGATTCTCCTCGTCGCCGTTCCGGCCCCCACCCTTCCTGTGCCAACAGCGCAGCTTCCTCGTCCTCCCCCGCCTCCTCCTCCCCCACCCCCTCCTCCTGGCCCCTCCTCCTTCCCCACCCCTCCCCTCCTCCTCCCCCTCCTCCTCCTTCTCCTTTCCTTGTCCCCTCCTCCCCTCCTCCTCCCCTCCTCCCCCGCCTCCTCCCCTCCTCCTTCCGCCCCCCCCTCCTCCTCCTCCTCCTCCTCCTCCTCCTCCTCCTCCTCCTTCTCCGTTTCCTCTTGTCCTCCCCCTCCCCGTGTGCCCGCTGGCCCTGCCCGCCTCCGCTCGGCCGTCGCTCCGCCAGTCCGGCAGAGGACTCTCGTGGCCCAGACACGTGACGGAGGAGGCTGGGAAAGTGACCTCACGCACAGCATCCGCCGCCTCCTCCGTCGCCTCTTGCTCCGAATCCACGTCCTCCTCCCCCTTACCGCTCTCCACCTCCTCCTGCACCGTATCCTTCGCCCCCGCCTCGTCATCATCATCCTCATCTCCCTCCTCCTGCTTGCGCGCTCCACGCCATTTCCGCCTCCTCCTTCTCCTCCTCGTCCTCTTCTTCCTCTTCTTCATGACACCTGTGTGACCTCTGGCACCGCACGCTTAGCGCACCAGAGGAATGTCTGCGATCGCGAGCCCCTCGTAGAATGGTGCCCTAGCGTAGCAAGGATCGGAGAGACCGAGAAGGACGACGACGACGACGAACAAGAAGATGACATGAAGGAGGACGGGGATACTCATCACGGGACCATGGTCCTCGCCGTCGTTAGTCATCGACACTCACGCAGGACACACTGCGGGGTCATCATCATCACCGTTGCCATCGAAAGTGTGCTCACCATCATTACAATCAATACCAACAACACCATCATCACACCCATCACCATCATCACCATCAACACTGCAACCGTCACAATCATCATCATCATCATCACCACCGGCATCATCCTCATCAGAACCACCACCGTGGGCCTCAGCATCACAATCACCATCGAAACCACCATAATCATCAGCATCATCATCAACCGTATCATCATCCGCATCAGCAGCAACATCATCATCGTAATCATCGCCATCGCCAGTCTGACCAGAAACACCATCACCATGCTCATCATCATCCTCCTCATAGCCGTCATCATCGTCGTCGTTGTGCTCCTCGTCGTGTTCATCGTCATCGTGAGCATAATCATCATCACCACCACAAGCATCATCATCATTTTCATCATCAGCAGCATCATCATCATAATCATAATCATCATCGTCACCATCAATCTCATCATCGCCATCGTCATCATCCTCATCAACATCCTCATAGTCATCCTGATGAGTATCTTCAGCATAACCATCACCATCATTATCATCTTCACCAGCACCATCAGCACCATCATCATCATCATAATCATCATCATCATCATCATCATCATCATCATCATCATCCCTCCCATCAGCATCATCATCATCATCATCATCATCATCAGCAGCAGCAGCAGCAGCATCATAATCTCATCATCCTGATCATCACCATCAACATCGTCATCATCGGCATCAGCATCAGCATCGCAATCATTACCGTCACCACCGTCATCACCATCACCATCATCATTATTCAAACCATCATCATCATCATCATCATCATCATCATCATCATCATCATCGCCATCACTCTCACTATCGCCATCATCACCGTCGTTATCATCATCCTCAACATCGTCAGCATCACCATCATCGTCATCGTCATCATCGCCACCACCACCATAATCATCACTATCATCATAGTCGTCGCCGTTGTCGGCATCATCATCACCATTCATATCAGCATCATCATCACCACCAACCTCAAAATCATGATCGTCATCACCAACATCATCATCTTCACCATCTTAGTTGCCATCTTACCGTCAACATCATCATCATCCTCATACCCATCATCACCATCATCACCATCAGCCGTCATCATCCTCATCCTCATACTATTCGTCATCCTTCATCTCCATCCTCATCATCCTCATCATCACCGTCGCCATCATCATCAGCACCATCATCCTCATCATCATCATCAGCAGCATCACCGCCATCAGCATCAGCATCAGCATCATCATCAGCATCATCATCATCATCCTCATCCTCATCCCCATCCCCATCCCCATGCCCATCCGTCCTCCTCCTCCCTTCCTCCTCCTCCTCCTCCTCCTCCTCCTCCTCCTCCTTCCTCCTCCTCCTCCCGTCGCCAGGGCCCCGTCCGCGATGACTGGCGCAGGCCCGCGGAGCTGGGCGATGGTGCTGCCATCCCGCAGGGAGAGCGCCACCTGCGCCAGGGCCTCCTGCGGGCGTGCTTGCTGCGCGCGGGGAGGCAGGGCCGAGGAGGGAGGGGGGAGGCGGGGGGAGTGGCGGGGGGAGGGGAGGGGAGGCGGGGTGGAGGGGAGGGGAGGCGGGAGGCCGAGGAGTCTGGAGGAAAGGCCGAGGAGGGGAGGGGAAGGCCGAGGAGGGGAGGGGAAGGCCGAAGGTCCAGAGGGAGGGGCGACGGAGCGGGGCAGAGGAGAGGCGGGGCAGGGTGCGCTCTCGCCGCGCCTGACATCCTACGGCGGAGGGCACTGGATCAGGAACCCTTGCGTAAGGAATCCAGGGTCGGGAAGCCGGTGGAACTCCAATCGCGGATCGGCCCTGGACATCACCGCCGCCCTCATCAGGCAAGGAATCCTCCAGGGTCTGAATCCTCCTGGATACATTCCTTAACCAACGCCCCCACCGTGCCCCCTCCTCCCACCCCTGTCTGTTGCGTCGAATCCCTTCTATCCGCCAGGCCAGGTGTCGAGTCGGACACCTGCCCCCGAATGTCACCGTGACGGAGCAGGAGGGGGAGTGGGAGGGGGCGAGACAGGGTAGTGAGAGGGGTGCAGTGAAGGAGCTGAGAGGGGCAGGGCGGGGCGAGGGGTGGCAGACACGCCGCGGCCGACGAGAATGGCAACGACGCCGACGCCGCCGCAACCGCTGATGACAATGACGACGACGAAAACGATGACGACGACAACGGCGGTGACGACGACGACAGCTACGGCCACGACGTCGACGGCGGCGGCGACGGCGACGACGACGGGCCCACGGCGTCCGCACTGGCGCCGAGCGCTGCGAGCCCCGTGTGGAGCTCCCGCTCGAACGCCGCAGGGTCGACCTCTCCGCGCGACGCGCGGACGGCGCCGGGCTGAGGGCACGGGGGCGCGCTCGGCCACCGTCTGATTCTGAGCCCGTTCAGGCCGAAGTGACACTCAGCGCCACTCAGCGCCACTCTCCGCCACCCAGCGCCGCTCATCGCCACCCTGCGCAACTGGGCGCCACTCAGGGGCCTCCTCGGGGCCTCTCCTCTCTGCGGCTTCCTGAGGTCTGGTAGGCGCTCCTTGGACCCTCTGTGGCCGTCTTGGGGCGCCTTTGTGCTCTCTTTGGCCGCCTTGGCGCGCCGTCTTGGGCCGTCCTGGAGCTGTGTTTGGCCGTCTTGGACCCCTTCGGAGCCCCTACTGGGCCACCTTGAGAACCTGTTGGGCCCCTTGGTGCGGGTGCTTGAAAACTGCTTGTGCCGTCCTGGGGCCCGCTGAGCATCTTGGAACCATGTTGAGTTGGAACGCCGAGCAAATATGGGCAGGCTGAACATAACAAACTTTGATACAGCTGACTCTCTGCGGCCTCCGTGCTTGGTGGCATGAATGGGAAGCGTCGGATGTGTGAGACATCTTATCGTCACAATAGCGAAGCAACAAGCAGTGCAATATAACACATGATACCACGCTTGCTTACGGCGCGCGTAGGAGCAACTAGGCCGTCCTTGCACCCAGTGGAATGAGTAGGCATACGCACGCACACACACACACACACACACTGCACCACTCGTGCTGCAAGGCATTCATATAAGTGTGTGCGTGGCGCTATCCAGACGTTCATGTGCATCACGCGTTGAGCTGTCAGAGGATACCTCGGCAGCAGGCAGCGTTCACATACGAATGTTGTTGCTGCATGTGAGAGGGTGTTACATCGCAGTTTGTTCCCGAATGCAAGACCACTTCACTTCAGAGGCCGAGAAGAAGAGAGAACAATAACAGACAATGAGAGAGAGAGAACAAATAAAACACGATAGAGAAAGAGAGAGGTAGAGAGAAACAGAGAGAGAGAGAGAGAGAAAAGCTATGCATGCTTCAGCTAAGGTTGCGGTGTGCATGCTTGACATTTTTTCTGCAACGCTCCAGAGCCAAAACAACAATCTGGAAGCCCAGATGGCCACTCCATCGCCCCCGCACCCCTATCCCGCCCCCCCCCTCCTCCTCCGACTCCCTACCCCCTCCATCGATCCCCCTCCTCATCCTCCTTTCTTCGGCATGCCACCGGACTGGCCTGAGCGTGCGTCCTCCTCCTCCTCCTCCTCCTCCTCCTCCTCCTTCTCCACACCTCCCTCATCCTTCCTCCACATACCTCCTCCTCTTCTCCTTCTCCTCCTCCTCCATCTTTTTACGTTGGACCGACACTGGCTGGATTCCCTCCTCTCTTCATCGCTCCTCCTCCTCCTCCTCCTCCTCCTCCTCCTCCTCCTCCTCCTCCTCCTCATTCTTCTCCATTCAAGGTCGGCCCGGCGCTCAGCATTTCCTGCTCCTCTTCCTCAGGCCGTCTTGCGGGACAGCGGGCACGTCGTCGCAGGTCTGGGTGCGCAGAAACCACGCCGCGAAGCGGCCGAGGGTGCCTTGGTTCGTGTGGGCGCGGATCGCGTTGAAGAGGGCGTTGTACCTAACTGGCCCGCTGAAGCTCACCTCGACCTCCTCCTCCTCCTCCTCCTCCTCCTCCTCCTCCTCCTCCTCCTGCCCCTCCTGAACGCCTGAACGCCGGCCTGCCCGACCGAAGCCGTTGGACTCGTCTTCCCCCTCCTCCTCATCCTCTTCGGGCGTGAAGGGGATGGGGGAGCGGGAGAGGTGGAAAGCGAAGGAGAGAGCGGGGATAGCGGAGGGGGGGAGGGGAAAACGGGGAGGAAGAGAAGGGATGTGACCTTGGGGAGGTTAGAGTGGGAGGGATTGGAGGTGGAGAGGGGCAGAGGCAGAGAGAGAGGGTCAGGTGGAGAGGGAGGAGGCGGAATCGGGGCCGCGCTCCATGTAGTCACCTGTGGAGGTTGTGCTGGGCCAGCAGCATGGTCCCTAGGAGCTCCCGCACCTCCATGAGGTGATAAAGGTAGGCCCGCGAGTATTGCCGCACCGGCGAGTCCTCACCTCGGATATCAGCCACGAGTCTGGGCTGCTCCCTCGGGTGGCGGCCCGGTCCTGCTCCGCCCCCCGACCCGGCCAGCATCGCGACCCCCCCCCAGAGCGCGGGGCGCCCTGCTGGTCGAGGGCTGGGCCGACGGCCCCGATCCCGATCGACCAGTGGATCGGCGCCCCGACCAGGCCCCGACCCAGATCCCCGACGCCACAGTGTGTTTTGTTCACAACGTCGACCCCCCAGAGGTCTCGGCCCATTCCCTAGGACCCGTTTCTCATCCCGCGTCCGTTTGTGATGCTCCCGAGGCCGAGGCCCGGCAATCAAGGGCCCCCTGTAGGGCAGAAAACGGCCCAATCGTGATGGTGTAATGACCCGAGGGGGTCTGGGTAAGACACTCGTTGTGTCCCCTGCCTGGGCGTGCATTGCTTGGTTTCGCGCGCGTGCCTTTCTCCAGAGGATCCAAAGACGCTCCAGAGTGGCCCAGATCTTCGGGCGCTGGCCTGGCCGAGAAGAACGCACACGCCCGAGCGATGCCAAGGCACTGGTTGCGCAAAGACGTCGCCGAAAATCGCCACCAGAGCGCCAGACCCCATATCTGTGAAGGTCCCAGAACCAAGCAGCCTGGTGCGAACGCCCGGCTTGAAAGAACTGAGCCGCCAGGATCTCAGGGAGGGGGGCCTGGGATCCCGATCGACCAGTGAGCGGCACCCCGACCGGGCCCTGACGGAGCCCTGGACAGGACGTCGAGCCTGGCGCCTCGCGCAGGCCTCGAGCCTCGCGCCGCCCACGTGCGTCGAGCCTCGAGCGTCGAGCGGCTCGCGTGCTCCCAGGGCCCCGGAGGCAGCGAGGCGCAGCTGGTCTGCGCCCCCGCGGGGCGACCCGAGAGGGCCTCGCCCAGACTCCTCCCCTCCTGCAGGAGCCTCGTCGCCACTTTCGGCCCCCCCGGGGGCCCTTGAGATCGCCGGGCCTCGGGAAGACGACGGAAGACGACTCGGGAGGAGACACCGGTCCTGGGGAAGGGGTCGAGACCTCTGGGGGTCGACGTCGTGACAAACTCATCGCGCTGGGCCCCAGCGTGATGAGAGGGGGCAGGCTTGAAGGGGCCCAGGGACACACAAATAAACAGGACACACCAATAAATAGACACAAATAAAAGGATTCCCCATATTTTCATATATTTTCTGGGTTTTTGTCTTCCCCCCCACTTCCAATATTTTCCAATGTTTTCCTGGGAGTCGACGATTAATTGTGTCTGTGTGTTTCTTTCCCTCCTGAAGGCTACCCGTCGCGGGCCGCCGGGCGTGGACCCCAGGCATATGCGACGCGCTGCTGTTTTCCAGGCGAGGCCCCCCGCAGCCCCGACCCTGCCCCCGGGACCGGCGCTTCGTCCCGACGGCGCTCTTGTTGCACGGCCCGGCGGGCCCGGTGAGGGCCTCCCATACCCAGAGATCCAACGTGTTGAAAAAACAAGACGGAGGTTTTTCTCAATTTTCAACCTCTAGGGGCCCTCGCCAGGCCCGGGGACCGTCAAAAAACGACACAGGATGAAAAACGGGTTCTGGAGAATGGGTTGAGACTTTGGAGGACCGCGCATTGAAAACATCACGACATCGGATCTCTGGGTAGACTTAGGTCGGGCATGTCCCCCTACACAATACTAAAAAAATAGGTTCCAAAAGGGTTAAAAACAATTGCAGAAAATACGTCCAAAATCGTCCCCAGATTATCTTTGGACTATATTGAACTATTCCGCCTCTGGAGGGACAGGCCCGACTTAACCATAGGCCCAAGCATGCGACGTCCTGATTTGTTCAGGACGGCGTCCCTGAAAATCCCGACCCTTTCCCCGAGACCAGTCTTTCGTCCCGAACCGTTCTTTGACGGTCCCGAGGCCCGGCGAGGGCCCCCCGGGGCCGAAAATAGCCAAAAACCTCCCGTCCTGATTTTTGTTCACGACGCGATCGTTTTTGGGGCTTAGTTGTTCTCAAAAACGCTGGGGACGCTTTTTTTCCGTTTTCCACTTTTGGGGGTTGCGACCAACAAAAACGGTAACAACACGGTAGCCCAAAACGGATTGAAAACGTCGTGCTCGAGCTAGAAACGAAAAGAACACGGAGTGCCAACCCAGGGGCCCCCAGCCTCTGGGGGGCCCCCCAGGCTCTCGGGGCCGCAGGCGATGCAACGCCCGCCGTGCTCCTGCGCACGACGCCAGGCTCCCGGGGCACGCGCGGCCTCCTCCTCCGCGCCCCCCCTGCGGGCGGCTCGCGAGGGCCGCGCCCCCCGAGGCCCTCGCGGAGACGGCCCCCTGCAGGGCCCGTCCCCGGGGGCCGGGCCTGGCCTGGGACGCACATGGGGCCATGACAGGCGACGACGGCGACGCCGACGCCGACGGCCGAGGACGGCGACGACGACGACGACGGCGACGACGCGCGACGACGACGGACGACGCGAGGCGGCGACGGACGTCGTCGGTCGCAGGGGGCGCGCGTGCACCCCGAGAGCCTGGCGTCGTGCGCAGGCTCACGGCGGGGTTGTTGATCATCGTCTGCGGCCCCCAGACATGATCGCGTCGTGACAGGAATCAGGACGGGAGGTTTTTGGCTATTTTCGGCCCCGGGGGGGCCCTCGCGGGGCCTCGGGGCCGTCAGAAATCGATTCAGGACGAAAGACCGGTCCCGGGGAAAGGGACGGGACTTCAGGGACGCCGTCCTGAAAAAATCAGGACGCCGCATGTTTGGGTTGGAGGCGGGCGTCCGACCCAGGCATATAGTATACCCATCCTGTAGTATAGATCGTTTTCCGAAAGGTGTGGCCAGAACGCGCCCGCCACGACGTATACACTGTAAGATTTCTCGGTGCGCGCGTCGCGTCGCCCCTGGAGGGGGCGACGTACACCTAGCATGAGTATGTTAAATTGACGCCGATGGCCCGCCTCTGGCGCTGTGCCTGGGCCGCGGCTGCGATGGGGCGCCCCCTGCCGAGGAGGCCCAGCAGGAACCGCTCGGAAGGGGGCGCCCCATCGCAGGTAGGAGGGCCCAGGCCAGCTGGCGTCGTGGAAAAAAGGAAAAACCTCACGACGGGAGGCCGTCCCTCGTGTTCGGCCTGTCGGGGCCCTGCACCGCGAGAGGTCTGCAGAACCCCCCCCCAAGAATTAGAAGACGGGTTCGGCGGCCTTGTTGAGGGACCGGGGTTCCACCAGTAATGGAAAGAACTCTTTCTCCGCGACACCCGCCCCACAAAAACGACGTCGACTACGACTACGATTGCGACTACGATTGCGACTACGATCACGACTTCAATCGCGACTCCGATTACGATTACAATCACCACCATTACAATCACGATTACAACCACGACTACAATCACTACCACAACCGGTTCCTATGGAAATCCTCATGAGAGAAGGTGCTCGCGAATCCTCTCGCGTGTAGGGTAGTCCACAATGGACTATTGACTGGGAGAACAAGACCCCCAACATTATCCAGCCCGCTCAACAGTACAGGGGAAATAATCTCCGCCGCGACGACGCCGACGACTACGCTGACGACCGCCAGGCGGAGAAGAGGAGGAGGAAGATGAGAGATGGAGGAGGAGGAGGAGGAGGAGGAGGAGGAGGAGGAGGAGGAGGAGAAGAAGAGGAGGAGGAGGATGAAGAGGAGGAGGAGGAGGAGGAGGAGAAGGGAGAAGGAGGAGGAGGAGGAGGAGGAGGAGGAGGAGGAGAATGAGAATGAGGAGGAGGAGGAGGAGGAAGAGGAGGAGGATGAAGAGGAGGAGAAGGAAGGGGAGGATGAGGAGGAGGGAGGAGGAGGAGGAGGAGGAGGAGGAGGAGCAGCAGCAGCAGATGCAGGAGCACGAGCAGGAGGAGGGGCGAGTTTTTTCCCCACCGAAACAAACAAAACTAAAGACATCCTGCGGTTAGTGGGCCTCGGGGCCGTCAACAAACGGCGCGCGAAGCGCGCAACGGGCGGCGCTGGACGCGCTGTCGGGGAAGAGGTCCCAGCGCCGACCCAAATTCGCGCGGACCATCGAACGTCTACGCTTATGCGTTTTGACCTCCTTCGGGTAAGAATCCTCAAGCTCCTCGACCGATCTGGAGTCTCCGCGCGGACCGCCTCGATCTCTCGATCCTTGCCCGATCCCCTCAGGCCGCCGCTGATGGGCCCGAAGTCCTCCTTCAGCTCGGGCGCGCGGAGATGCAGCTGCTTCACGGCCGCGGGGGGTTGGGCGGGCTCCTTCTCCTCGGGCTGCGGCAGCAAGCACCTCTGGAGACGGCCCAACATGTTGGGACGGAAAAGATACGTACGATCAGACGAGTACAACAACATGCATTTGATTTGGCGGGAAGGGAGACCGCTTCATGAACGCCTCTCAACTGCGCGCAAGCGAGAGGTACAGATTCTGCGGTCGATAACTTGCTCCAACAAGCACTGACGTGCGCACACGAGTAGGTGACAATTCAATTTCCTGAGGTGCCTCAGGCGACTCCGTGGGTCTCCAGGGCCTTCGTAGGAATGCGGCATCTCCGCGGGGCGCTTGCTGGCACGCTGGCTTCTCATCTGTCGGCGGCGCGCACACCGGGGCATGGTAAAGGTGGTGGCCTTGCAAAGAACGCCCGCAAGAGCATTCCATGAGGCACTCTGGACAGCTGGGGCCTCAAGACGGCCCCCCAGACCTCGATCCTCGGGGCCCCGACCCTGGTCGATATCCCCAGAGAGTGTGTAGCGCCAACGTGTGCTTGTCCACCGTGGGCCCTTCATCACGACGCAGGCGGTGCAGCTAGGACCGACACAAGCCGCGAGCGGAGCTGAACGGGGTAACACACACACACACACTCACACACACACACACATATTGGGCTAGCACACGTCCAAAGGATCATCGGTTTAGCGCAAGGTCTACTTGGATCCGATCGATCCGGCTCAATGTCAATTCTGACTGACTCGATCGGATTCCAATGTCCTGGCGATCCGATGCGGCCGAATGTTCGCATGACGTCGTTGTGCACCCTGGCGCGGCCGATCCGATTCGATTCCGAAGCCGTGCCAGTGCTGCCGGACCCGATCACATCTCCGATCCGATCCTGACCCATCCGATTCCCGACACCCGACTCGACCCGTCTTCGATCCCCGCCGATCCCCGGCTTGATCCTGACATGTAAGGCGATCTGGTCCCTCCCAAACCCGATCCTGACTGGCCCAGCCCCGGGGAAGTACCCTGAGATCCGAGGGCGCGAAAAAATGGAGACATCGGATTGACCCCATACTTCCGCGCCAGATCGATCCTTGAGGGCCCCGGGGCCCGAGAACTCGGGAACACGCCCGGCTCGAGCAAAAATTCATGGCGAAAGACCCAACCATATGCAGTTATGAGTACCACAATTGTGAATTCCTCTCGCTTCGCGGGGTGCACGTCCGGAGCACGTACAGTTAAGTCGTTTCGGGGCCTGTCGGAGATTCTTCTGGGCTTCATGGAGATCCTCTTGGAAGCCTCCTCGGGGTTTCTTTGTGGCCTCTTCGGACCGTCTTGGGCCGTCTTGGGGCTCCCTTGCGCCGTGTGGCCTCTTCGGCGGCCGTCCTGGTGACAGATGTCGGGTGGCGCCGGGTACGTTCATCACCTCTGGACTCCGGGGCTGTCTTTGGGGGCGACTTGGGTGTCTTTGACTTATCATGGGGGGGTGGTGGACTGGCTGGGGCGTCTTCAATGTCGAGAGGACTCGAGAGGACGAGAAGCTGAAAATGTGTCGTCCTCTCCTTCCCTCCTCCTTGGGTTAAAATGCCATAGTTTCTCGAGCTGCGTCCAGCCGAGGCGAGGAGAGGGCCCCGTACAGTACAGTACAGAAGCCATGCGCCAGCCCTTGGCACGGCGCTTGGGCACCACTGCCGCCACTGATCCGGGTTTCTGGTAGGGCGCGTGGGCAGAAGAGTGCGCGATTGGCACCCCTTTGACTGCGAAGCAAAAACGAACTTCAAAACATAAAGGCAGAGCGCCCGATTGTAAAGCAGGAGAAAACAAAGCGCCCCACGACTGTGAAGCACAACGCAAATTCGAGGAGCAGGAGGAGGAGGAGGAGGAGGAGGAGGAGGAGGAGGAGGAGGCGGAGCAGGAGGAGGATGCGGAGTCCAGCGTCCAGGGTCAAGCTCTTGGTAGCCGTTTTGGGGCCTCTTTTGGGCCTCTTGGGGGCTCTTTGGGGCCTCTTGGGTGCGTCAGGGAGGTCTCTTGGGGCCTCTTGGGGGCCTCTTGGGTCCTCCTGGGAGCCTCATTGGGCGGGAGGCTGGGACTCTCAGTTCGTGGTCCCTCGCGTGGACCCTTCTCGGGGCCGTTTTGGAGCTCTTTTGGGTCGTCTTGGGCGCCTTTGGGGTCGTCTTGGAGATCTCTGGGGCCGTCTTGGGAGCCTCTTGGAGGCCTCTTAGGCCGTCTTAGGGCGATCCTGGGGGCCTCGTGGACAGGTTTGAACGCCGTGAAGGCTGCAAAATTGAATCTTATAAAAATGTTCGTCTTCCAACTGGGGTTTGAAGATTTTGGCCTCTTGGAGGCTTCTTGGGAGGTCTCTTGGAGGCCTCTTGGGGTGTCTTCGCGGCCTCTTGGGCCGTTTTGGGCTCAGCTTGGGCGTCTTGGAGCGATCTTTCGGCGACTGTGGGCTCTCGTGGACCGTCTTGGGGGCTTCTTGGGAGGCGTCAAGCGTTGTTTTGCAGCTCAGGAGCAAGCCCAGGGAGCCCAAACCGCCCCGGGTGAGTTCAGTCTGGGGACTGGCGCGGCCGGGGGGGAGGTCGAATCTCCGGTTTTGGGGTCCCTTGGGGGGGGGTATGGGGGGGAAACTATCTCACACGCCTAGAGACCCACAAGGGGTCGGCGGATTCTCTGTGCCGAATCCGTCGGTCCGAATCCGAATCTCTGGTCGGCTCGCGGGGGGCCGCTGCGGTGCAGTTCAGTACCCATGCCTGCACAACAGCTCGAGCCGAATTAGCCGTACAGTCCACGCGGTGATATGAGGAACACATCTGGTTCGGGAGGGGCTTCCATTTCTGGGCCGTTCCTCAGACCAACGTAGGGGAGCTTGCTTATGGCCGAAGGTCGCTGTGGCCATAAAAGCCCCTTCGTTCCTTACTTAAGGTTCTTTGCGGCAAGACGATGACTGTAACTCCCAGCACCTTTCCTGGAATCGCTCGTTCCCGCTCCCTCTCTCTTCCCGCCCGTGCTTCGCAGAAATGATGAACCCACTCAAAGACTGGGAGCTGCTCAGTCTCAAGGGCAGCAAAGGTCATATCTGAAAATGCGATGGCATCCAGGGCTGACCAGCGACGCTTGCTCCCAGGCGTGCCGCGCATGCTGCCCCAGGACCGTGAAGATTGGGTCGGAGGCGCTCCACTAGGTGGTGGGGGAGAGAGCGGACAGACGACGACGACGACGACGACGACGACGACGACGACGACGACGACGACGACGACGACGACGCACAGACGCGCTCGGCGAGGTTCGAACCTCGGCCTGAAAGGAGGATGACGACGAAGAAGAATATCAGGAGGAAAGGACGCGGATGGGAAGAAGGATGACGACAATGAGGAGGCTGAGGAGGGCGATGAGTCAGAGGGGGACCGAGGAGGCTCTTGGCATTACTTTTCATTGTTGTGCATTGGTTTACGCTGCTTTCGATTCCTTGTCATCGCATTGCAATTCTTTACGGATGTTTTCATTCGGCATTCAGTATAGGCTCAAGGCGTCATTCGGTGGGTGTCCTTGAAACCATGGGCCCAGGGCTTTGGACGACCCTTTCGAATGTTGCACAGCGCGTGCGAACCTGTACATATATCGCAATCGCGATTGCAAATGCGGCCCGGAGTGGCTGCGGCTCCGGCGCGACCGCCTCCGAGGAGAGAAGCGTTCGCTTCTCGAGGCCGCCGACGCCGCCGCCAAGGCCGCCCGCCCGAGCCTCGAAGAGGCAGGCGGGGCCACGAGCGCGGCGGCCGCTGCGGCTGCTTCGGGCGCCGCGCTGCCGGCAGAGGCGCGCGGGCCGGGGGCCGCAGCAGCGACTGCCGCGGCTGCTCCAGAAGGGGCAGGGGCAGCCGCGAGCTCGGCGGGGGAGCCCTTGGACACGCGGGCGGAGGCGGCTGCGGACGCGGCGCCTTCGGCTGGGGCGAGCTCCGCGAGCTCTTCGAGCTCCTCGGACTCCTCCGAGTCGGAGGCTGAGGAGGAGGCGGAGAAGGAGGAGGAGGAGGAGGAGGAGGAGGAGGAGGCCCCGCGCACGCCTCCGACCCCTTCTCTGGCAGCGCAGCAGCCAGAAGCGACGGCCGGCGCCTCCACGCAGACGGAGAGGGAGCCGCTGCTTGACAAGGTGGCGGCCTTGGAGGCGGCCTTGCGCACGGCGGCGGCGCTCCAGCTGCAGACCGCGGCGGAGCTGCGCCAGCTCCAAGGTCTGGCGATCGCGGGGGCCGCAACGCGTCGTGTCGTCTTGGCAAGGGGGTCTCATTGGCTCGTCGATTGCACAATTCGCGCGCGAGGGTAGTCACCGTGGCGCCGACGGAAGAAGTGCCGCTGGTGACAGATTTCTGCAGCGTTGAAAGCGTCCGCGCGCTGCGCCGCAGTTTCGGAGCCTCTTGTGGGGTCTTTACATTGCAAGAGAATTTGAGGCGAACGTAGGCGCAGCAGCTGTAGCGCTGGCACGATTGCCGAGGAAGCGAGTGCATGCAACGCGCGCCGAGGCTTGAGCAACGGCGCGAGAGCGCGGCGCTTCGCCTACGTGGCGACCACACGACAATCGCGATTGCGGGGGGGCGCTGTTCTTGAGGCAGCGGCTACGCCGCGCGGTTCCCGCTGCCGCCCTGATTCCCCGCGGTCGACCACGGGACGAGTCTTCGACAGCGCTTTTGGGCGAGGTCCACGGTTGTGTCCCGCGCACGTGCTCCTTAACGGACGCGGGCGATCTTGTCCGCCTCGGAGATTTCCGCACCCCTCGCTTGCGCTCAGAGCTAGTGGGACCTCCGCGCCAAGACGACACGTCGGGAACGTTGCGCCCGGCGAACGCCTCGCCGACCAAGGCGTACACCAGCGGCTGCTCGAGAGGAACACGCGCGAGGCGGCGGCGCAGGAGCAGGACATCCAGGACCGGGCGCGCCAGGAACAGCGGCGCGCGCTCGAGCCGGCACGGGAGCGAGGCGACTGCGACACTCTTCACAGATTGGGTGGAGGGCGCTTCCCTTTCCCGCGAGGGTCGCAGAGAGCACTCATGGGCGTCTGCGCAGGGATGGGTGAGCTCCTCTGCGCGGTCTCCCACGGGGGGGGTCCGCAGTCTTTCCACCAGGAGCGCGGCGCGCTCGACACGGCCGTGGCCCACGCGGCGAAGCTGGCCGCTGCCGAGGCGAAGGCGCAGGCCACGGCGGCAGCCCGCCGGGCAGACTGGCGAGGCCTGCGAGTGCCTCGCCGAGCACGTTTCGGAAGGGAGGGGGGGAGGGTCACGCCGGGTGGCGAACTGGGGCTGGCGCACTGGGGGCATGTTGTTGCCGAGCGCGCGCCGAGCTTCCGAGTGGCCCTGAAGCACTACCTCCGCGGCCACATCGTCTCGGCTTCCAACCGCGTCCTGTGGGCGAACGTGCTGCGCACAATGACGACGATGCCGGAGGCCGCCGACGAGGATGAGGACGACCAGGACCCGAAGCCAGTCGAGGCGCTGCCCGAGGACGCGTTCCCCGATCTCAGCCCCATCAGCATCATGGCAGAGTTGCGGCGAGTGGACCGAGACGCCATGCCGCTGGCGAGGACATTGGGCACCTCTCCCACTCGGTGCAGAAAGCGCTGGAGCAGAGCATGTCCTTCTGGGACCCGCCGAACACCGAGCCCACGTGGCGCGTGCCACAGCGTCAGTCTGCTCTTCGGCATTGCAGTTCGCTGCCAGCGGGTGCTCGCGGAGATGCCGGGGAGCCGTTGCGGAAATCGGCGCGCCTGAAGAAGCGGGACAAGCTGTACCCTAGCGACGCTGACCTGACAAGCAACATCCAGAGCTGGCGGAGAGGACGGGGGGGGGCAATCGGGAGACGTGGGACTACCCAAAGTATGACATGCACGCAGTTTGGTCGGAGCGCTCGCTCCGTTTCGCTCTGGAAGAAGTTATCGAATATGAAAAGTCTTCGGCTTCCGAGCAGGCGTGTCGCCAACCGAGTTTGCGCGGAGCATCTACTGCGTAGCGTCATGTCGTGAGTGGTGAGTAGATCTGAGTATGTGGAAGGGTTGATGATTGGCCTTGTGTGCACACTTTCGTGGATGTCGCAGCGCCCGCGTGCAGTGCCTCGTTCGCGCCATGCGTTCTCCGTAGAAGATGTATGTATGCCTTTACATTCGCATGCGTGTAAACAGATGTACAGTATGTACACATGTACGCGTCTGAGCATGTCAGGCAGGTGGCATGGCACATGGGGTGCGTAGCTGAAAGAGTCGTGAAGCAGTTGAAGGTATGTGAGGAATGTGCAGAGAGGCCTGCCCATGCTTATCCCTGGATTGGCCTTGTGTGCACACTTTCGTGGATGTCGCAGCGCCCGCGTGCAGTGCCTCGTTCGCACCATGCGTTCTCCGTAGAAGATGTATGTATGCCTTTACATTCGCATGCGTGTAAACAGATGTACAGTATGTACACATGTACGCGTCTGAGCATGTCAGGCAGGTGGCATGGCACATGTGATGCGTAGCTGAAAGGGTCGTGAAGCAGTTGAAGGTATGTGAGGAATGTGCAGAGAGGGTTGCCCATGCTCATCTCTGGCCGATCGCAGGACTTCAGACGCACCAGATCATCCCCGACCCGCAGCAGATGAGCATCCTGAATGCAGTCGCCGTCGCCGACAGGTGCGTTCAGGAGGCTAGCGAGCAGGACCAGCCGCGCGGATCGCCATGCTCCAGGCTGTTCGTTCTCGGCCTGCCAGGATCAGGGAAGTCCGAAGTAATCCGGTGGCTGTGCGACGAAGACGTGGGTTTGTTTCCCACGTGCATGGGATGGGAGCACGAGGCGCACTTCATGAAGACCGCCCCAATGAATTCCATGGCAAGCAACATCGGGGGGAAAACGACCCACAACTTCAGCAAGCTCGGGATCGATCTTATCACGGGGGTCCAGTCTGGCGGGAAGAAGGACCCGGAGCTGTCGGAGAACTTGTTGCACACGAAAATCCAGCACATGCGTTGGCTTATCATCGACGAGGTGAAGAACGTGTCCGTGGAGCTGCTGGACGCCGTCCACAATTGTGAATATCTTTTTCGGTGGCGCTCCCTATGGGGCCACGAAACGCTGTACTGGGTGGATGAAACGCAGGGAGCAAGGGCCGTGTTGGGTGGTGGCGGACGCATGCGGGCGGTGCCTCTGGGCCCTTCGGTGGAGCCCCCTATGGGGCCACGAAGCGCTGTACTGGGTGGGTGAAGCGCAGGGAGCAGGCTGGGTGGTGGCGGGCGCATGCGGGCGGTGCCACTGGGACCTTCGGTGGAGCCCCCTATGGGGCCACGAACCGCTTTACTGGGTGGGTGAAACGAAGGGAGCAATGGCTGTACTGGGTGGTGGCGGACGCATGCGGGCGGTGCCACTGGGACTCCCCGTGGAGCTCCCCATGGGGCCACGAAGCGCTGTGCTGGGTGGGTGAAACGCAGGGAGCAAGGGCTGTGCTGGGTGGAGGCGGACGCATGCGGACGGTGCCACTGGGCCCTTCGGTGGAGCCCCCTAAACTGGGTGGTGGCGGGCGCATGCGGGCGGTGCCACTGGGACCTTCGGTGGAGCTCCCCATGGGGCCGCGAATCGCTGTACTAGGTGGGCGAAACGCAGGGAGCAAGGGCTGTGTTGGGTGGTGGCGGACGCATGCGGGCGGTGCCACTCGTGGCGGGCGCATGCGGGCGGTGCCTCTGGGACCTTCGGTGGGGCCCCCTTATGGGGCCACGAACCGCTGTACTGGGTGGGTGAAACGAAGGGAGCAATGGCTGTACTGGGTGGTGGCGGACGCATGCGGGCGGTGCTCTGGGACCTTCGGCGGAACCCCCTACGGGGTCACGAAGCGCTGTACTGGGCGGGTGAAACGCAGGGAGCAAGGGTTGTGCTGGGTGGTGGCGGACGCATGCGGGCGGTGCCACTGGGCCATTCCCCGGAGCCCCTTACGGGGCCACGGAACGCTATACTGGGTGGGTGACACGCAGAGAGCAAGGGCCGTGTTGGGTGGTGGCGGACGCATGCGGGCGGTGCCTCTGGGACCTTCGGTGGGGCCCTATGGGGCCACGAAACGCTGTACTCGGTGGGTGAAACGAAAGGAACAAGGGCTGTGCTGGGTGGTGGCGGGCGCATGCGGGCGGTGCCACTGGGACCTTCGGTGGAGCCCCCCTATGGGGCCACGAACCGCTGTACTGGGTGGGTGAAACGAAGGGAGCAATGGCTGAACTGGGTGGTGGCGGGCGCATGCGGGCGGTGCCACTGGGACCTTCGGTGGAGCCCCCCTATGGGGCCACGAAGCGCTGTACTGTGTGGATGAAACGCAGGGAGCAAGGGCTATGCTGGGTGGTGGCGGACGCATACGGGCGGTCCCACTGGGGGCTTCAGTGGAGCTCCCCATGGGGCCACGAAGCGCTGTGCTGGGTGGGTGAAACGCATGGAAGAAGGAGGAGGGAAGGGAGAAGGGGGAGGAGGGGGAGGAGGAGTAGAGGAAAAGAGGAGAAGAGGAACGCGGGGACCGTCTCTTCAAAACGAGCACCCAACACCACAGGATGGTTGGGAAAAATACTTTCGCCAGCATCTCAAGGGAGCCTCCGCTTCGCCCTCCCCGCCCGTGGCTCGTAGGGCTGCCCCCCTGGGCACCTCAGCGCCTCGGCCTCCGCCTCCGCGCCGACCGCGTCGGCCCCGGCCGCGGGCATGTCGCAGGAGAACAGCAGGGCGACGCCCTGGGCGGCGGGGTGCGGGCGGAGACACCCCGCCCCACGCGGGCTGCACCGCCTCTGCCGCGGAGGCCAGGTCGGACGGAGGGATGGGGACGCTGGACGGTGAAGAAGGGGACGGGGGGGAGGAGGAGGAGGAGGAGGAGGAGGAGGAGGAGGAGGAGGAGGAGGAGGAGGAGGAGGAGGAGGAGGAGGAGGAGGAGAGGAGAGGAGAGGAGGAGGAGGAGGAGGAGGAGGAGGAGGAGGAGGAGGAGGAGGAGGAGGAGGAGGAAGGAGGAAGGAGGAGGAGGGGAGGAGGAGGAGGACGGAGGAGGAGGAGGAGGACGGAGGAGGAGGAAGGAGGCGGAGGGAGGAGGAGGACGAGGAGGAGGAGGACGGAGGAGGAGGACGGAGGATGCAGGACGAGGAGGAGGAGGATGAGGAGGAGGAGGAGGAAGAGGAGGAGAAGGAGAAGGAGGAGGAGGCGGAGGAGGAGGAGCAGGAGGCCCTGCTCAGAGGACATACCAAAACACGGGAAGCAATCCGAGCTAACACCACTGTCAGGTCATCTGAGCTTCACCGTCGGTAAGTGTCTCGCCGGGCAACGGCGAAGGCCAAGTCCCCGGGCGTACCAGGGAGGAGGGAAGAAGGGCGGAAGGAGGAGTCGGAGGAGGCGCCAGAGGAGGCAGGAGGAGGGCTGAGGAGTTATTCCCAAACTATTCACATCAAACTTGCGCAACCAAAGTGCCAGCCTGGCCGCAGAGCACCAAATCAAAGCTCAGGGAACTTCATTCCCGACTTGGGAGGGAGGCCCCAACTGATTCGGGAGATGACGTATTTGCCCGCCCTGGTCGGGGGCCTGCATTCCACAAGAAGCTTGCGGGCATCCTCGGCACAGACAACACCGCACACAGCACAAAACAAAATGCCTCGGACGACCTCCAGAGTGTGGGACGGGTGGCAGTCATCGGCGGCGAGCCTGGGGGGGAAGTGAGAAGGGGCGGGCCTTTTCAGAAGGCTCGGAAGTCCCCCGACCTTCTGAGAAGTTCTCTGAGCCTTCCCCGGATACACAACAGATTTCTCAGAAAGCGCCAGGGCTTCTGAGAACCCCCGCCGCCTTCTGAGAGGGCCTTCTCCTTTTCAATCCCCCTCCGCGCTCGCTGGCGAAGTGTGTCCACAAGCGCCCCCGTTCAGCCAAGGGCGGATCCACATGGTCTGGAGGGAGGGCATCGGAAATGAGGCGGGTGAAAGGTCCAGGATCGCCCAGAGGATGGCACCGACGAGGCCAGAAGTCAGACAAGGGCCCGCTCCGAGGGAAATAATGGGCGCAGCGTGTAAACCAGAAGACCGAGGTTTTCACCCGCTGGTCACGGCCATTCGCAGCAAGCCTCGTGTAACAGAAGTCCACCGATCTCGCACCACCCCTCTTGCGCCGAAAGGGCAACCCCAGACGGTGGGGTGGAGGCGGTGTGACGTAAACAGAGCTTCACGCTGAATGGCATGCAACCTGCGCATGATTTGAGACGGCAAATCGTCGGCATCGAGGGTGACCTTAGCAAAATCAGGTTGGGAGGGCATGCGCGGCGAGGACGGTTGAGGAGGAGTAGGAGGAGGAGGAGCAGAAGGAGGATGAGGAGGAGGAGGAGGAGGAGGAGGAGGAGGAGGAGGGGGAGGAGGAGGAGGAGGGAGGATGGAGGTGAGGAGGAACAGGAGGGAGGCGGGTCGAGGAGCAGCGTGGAGGGAAAGAGGGGAGGGGGGAGGAGGGACCATAGCCCTGTCTGTGGGGAACATCCGTGCCTCAGCTCGCAGGAGGGGTACCCAAGGGGCGGGGTGTGCTCAGCCCGAGCTCCTCCTGAGCATATCCCCCGCCTGTCGTTGTCTCCTGGCTTTCGGGTCACAGCTCGGCTCTCCCGCGGCCGTCTGGGACGATCTGGGCGCCCCCAGAACGACCTCGGCAAGGCGCAGCTGCGCTGAAAAACATCCCGATGGTGGAAAACTCATGGGAAACTGCAAAAATGCCCGGAGCTTGGTAGCTGCCCCGACACGCAACACGCAACCCGTGGCGTGTTGACACGCAGCTCAGCCCAACACGTAGGTCTGGCGCGATAGGTTTGCCAAGACGTGGGCCAACACATTGAGCCAACACGCAACGCGCAACGTGCTGACACTGGCGTATCAGGGCAGCTGCGGCTAGAAGGGGTCGGGAAGCCTGCCTGGGACGCGAGCTGCATCGGGTACGCCATCTCGAAGACGTCCACGCCCATAAGCACGGCCTGCAGCACCTCCACGGGCGAGCCCGCGTTCAGCGGCAGGAAGCGCGGCAGGGCCGGCGGCAGCGCCCCAGCGCACGTCTCGAGCACCCTGGCGCGCGCCGCCAGGCTCTCGTCGTAGCCCAGGCCGCCGATCCAGACTCCGGCGACGGGCATGCTGGCAGCGTCCTCTGACCAGCCAGCCAACTCGGGGGCCGCCTGTGTTCCGTGGCCCCCTCCCTGCGGAGTCCCCACTGGAGTCGGCGCCCGGGGCACCAGGGGATAGAGGGGGTTCACAGGGATGCCGAGGGAGGTTATATCAGACCTAATCTAGCTTGCCAGTGGGTTACACGTGCCACAAATGGCTCAGGCGGGTTAGAGAACTCCGCAAAGTGGGCGGAGCCCACTTAGCCCAGATCGTTAACCCCCCTAAACTTGCACCCCACTTATAGATTAGGTTAGGTCAGGTACAACCCCTTTGGCATGCACTGATCGCCCCCCTATCCCCTTAGCAAGCCCCGCGCCGCTCCCGGCGGCGTATCTCGAGGATCTTTCGAGAGGGGCGCCGAACCCGATGGGCCCCCCACGAGGGTAATTCAGGAACACGACGCCCCCAGTCGTGGCTGCGTCTGGTCCTGGCACGCCTTCTGGCGCAGCTTGGTGTTGCCGCCGCCTTGGATGCTGGCGAGCACGTGCCAATCGAAGCCGAGCCCTGGCTCGGCCGCCTTGGCCTCCAGTATCTCCTCGGGAGGCTGGCGCTCGCGTCGCGCTTCCGCCGCGTCGTGGCCGTCCCTCCCCCCGTTGCCCGATCCGTCGTTGCTTTTTGTTCGGTCGTTGTGCATCCTCGAGGGGTGGGGGGGGGGGACAAGGCTTAGATGCTCGCTCTGGGGACCCTCCTGGAACCACTCGCTCCACGGGTCCCCAGAACGAGCGCCTGACGAAACGAGGCCGGGAGGAGCGCCGGCGCCCCGCGCGCGCCCCGCCAGGAGCCTCCTTGTGACCCCGCAGGGCATGGCGCAAGAAAAAGGCCGCAGCCTCGAGCTTTAGCAGCCCCTAAACAAGGCGTGACCAGAGGTGGCTCCTCCTCCTCCTCCTCCTCCTCCTCCTCCTCCTCCTCCTCCTCCTCCTCTTCCTCCTCCTCCTCCTCCTCCTCCTCCTCCTTCTCCTCGTCCTCCTCCCCCTCCCCCTTCCCCTCCTCCTCACCCTCCTCCTCCTCCTCCTCCTCCTCCTCCTCCTCCGCAATTCTCAGACTCCGTCCTCCTACCTCCTTCCTCCTTTCTACTTCCTGTCACTATCACTCCCCATCCCTATGCCTTCTTGGTATACACTCCCACTTTGCCAACTAGCGAGCCTACAGCCTCCACATCCCATCCAACGTGTCGAAGCAATACAAAATCTGCGTTTTTTTCGCCACGGCATGGACATTGCGTCGTCCGTGTTGCAAGATGAGCGGCAGGAGTGGGTCGGGGCGCACATCCTGCGCACGAGAGGCCGACATGTCGCTCTCGCCTCGGCGGCGCGCTTGTCTGCGAGGCGGGGATCTATCCACATCCACCGCCCGGGTCAACCGCCTGCCGAGGCTCCGAAAACTAACCCTCCAGGAGGAGGAGGAGGAGGAGGAGGAGGAGGAGGAGGAGGAGGAGGAGGAGGAGGAGGAGGAGGAGGAGGAGGAGGAGGAGGAGGAAGAGGGGGAGGAGCAGGAGAGCAGGAGGAAGCAGGGAGAGGAGGGGGAGGAGGAGGAGGAGGAGGAGGAGGGGGAGGAGGAGGAGGAGGCGGTGGATATGGATAATTCCCCGCCTCGGATTGTTTCTCTAGAAACCTGAGCTCCCGCTGGGGCGCGGCGCACGCTTCTCGCGCGCAGTGCATGTCGACGCGCGCGCGGGCAAAAAAATGTCGCTGTCGCCTGGGCGCCGCGCAGATTTCGCCTCCTCCTCCTCCTCCTCCTCCTCCTCCTCCTCCTCCTCCTCCTCCTCCCCTCCTCCTCTCCTCAGTTCCCGCCCCCGCGCGGTGTATATCAATTTAGGGTGGTCCCGCACGGAATTTGGACGCCCGGCACGGGTACGGAAACAATTGGTACAATGCCCAACCACAAATGTTGCCCGAAACCAGCAGCGGCCGCCGTTGGGCAGGCGGCCTTCTGTCTCAAATGGGCACAGGCCGCGGCGGCACCGACGGCGAGTCCTGTTCAAAATGAACCGGAACTTTTGTTGGGTATTGTACCCAGTCTTTCCGTACTCATATCGGGCGACCAGACGGAAGTGGTATACCGCGCGGGCGCGGCGCATGGCTCGTTCGCCGAATCGCGTGCAAGCGACAGAGGCAGCGGGGCCGCACGAGAGCCGGCGAAATGCCGACCTCGCCCAGGCGCCGCGCAGTTTGCCAGCGAAGGTGACAATGCAGTGTCAGCGCGGCGCATGCTTCGCCTTCGCCGCGCCCATCGGATGTTCTGCCTGTCCCGCCCCTGTTCGGCCATCGTAGCTTCCCCTGCGCCATGTCGTCGGAAGCGGGTCCGCGCGCGAGCGCAAGGTGGGACCGCAATCCAATCGCCAGATCAAGTTGTGGCACAACTGATTCTTATGTTGTGGGAGGAGGAGGAGGAGGAGGAGGAGGAGGAGGAGGAGGGTGGGACTGGGCGGGGCCCTCTGACTCGCTGAACCTGGCCATCTTGGTCCTCCTGCTTCCTGTCCTCCTTCTCCTCCTTGGCCTCGGCCCGTGGCGGCCCCAGCCTTCCCAGGGAGTTTCAGAGCCTCCTCCCCCTCCCCCTCCCCCTCCCCCTCCCCCCCCTCCTCCTCCTCCTCCTCCTCCCCCTCCTCCTCCCCCTCCCCCTCCCCTCCTCCTCCTCCTCCTCCTCCTCCGCCTCCTCCTCCTCCGCTTCCTCCTCCTCATCCCCTTCTCGCGCCTCCCGGCGCCGGAGGCGCCAACGCATCGAGGAGAGCGTCCAGCGGCGAGGCCCAACCCCCCCTCCCCATCCCCCGAGCACCCCTCACGAGGCCCAGAGAGCCCCAGGAGCTCGAGTGGTGGCGCGCAAAGCTGAGGGGGGGCGCCCTGGGGCCAGGAGCACCTCTGGCCACCCCCGATTGAAACTCCAGGGCGGGGCCTCCAGAGCACCGCCAGAAGCTGTTGAGAGAGACTCTTACGGAGGGGGGGGGGAAGGGAAGGAAGCAAGGACGAGGGGTCGGGTGCGGGGCACAAAAAGTGCCGCTGTCGCCAGTCCCCGGACCTCTTCTGGGGTGCAGTCTGAGCAGACTTTGAAAGAGAACCCAGCCATGGCGACGAGGGCTCTCCAGGACGAGCAGAAGTACTGGCATCTTCTCCTCATGCTTAGGTCGGGCGTGTCTTCCTGCAGGCGGATTCTGGACGAAAACTTAAACATACTCAAATAATACCAAAACAAGCAAACATACTTTAAACAATAGTTCCCTGACTATTCTTGACTATAGTTGAATATTCCTCCTGTAGAGGGACAGGCCCGACTGAACCTTGTGCCCTGCTCGCGGAGGGGGACTGCGCCGAGAGGAGGCGCCCCGTCCTCAGCAGCCAAGAGAGGACCCCCTGAGCAGCCCCGAGGTCACGAGCCCTGCCATGCGGCGGAATCGCCAAGTGTGACAGACTGGTGGAGCAACAAACTACACAAGCATCAACTGTCGGAAGTCCGCACGGATGTCTTGGATCTGCGCTGAGCGCCACTCGGCGGCACAGGAGTCGGAGGCGCCGCCAGGGTCCAGCTCAGATCTAAAGAAACCCGCACGGAGCTCCGCACAATATATTCTGGCTATGCAGCGTCCCAGACCCCCGACGTCATGATTTCTTCATGCATGACGTCGACCCCCAGAGGTATGGACCCATTCCCCGGGACCGGTTTCTCATCCTGAATCCTTTTTTGACGCTCCCGGGGCCCGGTAAGGGCCCCCAGCGGCCGAAATAGTGGGTTCTCTTCCTTCGAGCGACGCCGGGATCTCGGGGCACTCCGCCGGCGCAAGAGCCGGGAGCCCCCCCCCCGTCCTTGAGCCAGTCGCCCGCGCGAACCACCGCGCGGCTCAGCCGGCGCAGCGCGGTGACCTCCAGGGGCACGTCCTCCCCCGGCGCGGCCACGATGTCCATGCGCATCGCGCGCTGGACGCCGAGTAGCTCCTGTCGACGCGCTGCGGAGGAGCACCGTTCCCAGACCCCCTCGGCTAATGAAAAAATCACGACGGGAGGCTGTTTGCTATATTTTCGGCATCTAATTGCCCTCACCAGCTCGGGAGCGTCAGGAAACGATTCAGGATGAGAAACCGGTCCTGGGGAATGGGTCGAGACCTCCAGGAGTCGACGTCACGATTCCCTTTACCCAGTAGCGTGGCCTTGGCCCCACTTGCCTACTGACGCACCAAGGGACGTATGCCTGCTTCTTCGAGTTTCGCGGGGCTTACCCGGGAGGGTGGGCTGGTGGGGCTGACATGTCATGGCCCGATGGGGAAAATACTGAACGGACGAAGGGGGGGCCTGAGTTCGTCGAAGGGGACCGGTGCCCAGCGGCAGACGTGAATCCGAAACCGGCCGCGGCTGCCACTCTGCAGGCGGCACTCGCCACTGCCAGGGCGCCGCTCGCTGTGAGGCCACCCCGAGGGCGGCCACACCCGCTCGATCAGGGTACGCTCCAACGCCTGGCCTGGCGTGCCCCTTGGGAGCGCGAGCCCTGTCCAGAACGTGCTCGCTTGTGCACCGCATGCGCCACCCCATTTCGAGCGCCGCGGTCCTTGGGCCCCACCTTCCGCCGCCCCCCCGTCGTCTCCACGCTGCACAGCGAGTCGCCCCCGTGGATGGACATCGGCAGCCTCGCGTTGCGGAACGCGCAGTACGACCGGTGGCCCTCCAGGTAGGGCCAGAAGGCCCTGCAGCCGCCCTCCGGCCCGCCGGGGCAGCCCGCGACCGACTCCTGCCGAGGCAGGGCGTCGCCCACGCACAGCTCGAAGAGCTGGGTATCGGGCAGCAGCTCGGCCAGCGCCTGCTGGAAGGGAGGGGGGGGGACGAGCCAGGGGAAGCGCCGCCTGCACGCCCACGTGCGGTTGTACGCTGAGCTGCACTGCCCCGATGCGCGACACGCCACCCGCAGCGTGTTGACACGGAGCTCGACACGCAGACCGAAAACGTAGGTTTGGCGCGACATGTACGCGAGAGGCATGCGGAGCACGGTACGCTGCTGCGTTACAGTAACTCGCTGGTTGCCCAGAACCCCGACGTCATGTCTTTTCAAGGAGTGTCGTCCTCTGCATGTCTCGACCTCTCCCCCAGGACCGGTCTCTCATCCCGACTAGTTTTGTGGACGCTCCCGGGGGCCAGTGAGGGCCCCTAGAGGCTGAAAATAGCGTCTTGCCCCGACTCCCTCGGGCCGCGAAAAAATCGCGACGGGATCCCGTCGTGATTTTGTTCACGACCCGAATGAGTCGGGGTGAGACGCTGGTCTGTGCCACCTGCCTGCGCATGCGCTGGTTGTCCCCCGGGGTGAGCCAGTTGTGCCCCTCGCCATCGCTCGGACGCCCATGCCCCGTGCACCGTTTGGCTTCGCGCGCGTGCTCTCCTCAGGATGCTACAAGAAGCTCCACAAAGTTTCGGAGGGAACTACTGGGAGGTTTTCGTCGGAAAAATTAAGGAGGATTAAGCCCCATTTGGGAGCTGTTACGCCGGAATGGGCCTCGGACTAAGCAGGATTAAGCCGGATTAAGCGGGATTAAGCGGGATTCAGCCGGATCGAGCGGGATTAAGCCGGAGTGAGCCGGATTTTGGACCAGGGCAAAGTCAGCATTTAACCTCCCAGGAGTTGCACCCGAACTAAGTGTCCCAGAATTCCTGGCGCTGGCCTCGCCGAACAAACATGCACTCGTCCGAGCGATGCCAAGGCCCTGGCTGTGCCTTGGCTGCCTGCGCGCTGGGCCAAGCACGGCAGGGACCGGCCCCCGTGCAGGGCCCCGGGCTCGGCGCGCGCTGCCACGGCCGGGGCGCGCGCGTCCGCCCTGGGCCTCGCTGAGGGCCCCGCGCGGGATGCTCGGACGAAGCCGCGACGAGGGTAGCATCGGGTGAGGATAGCTCGGGTATCTCTGGGATCCGGCAGCTCTGGGGGGGAATTCGTAAAGGAGGAAGAACTATGCACATACACCGATTCTGGCCAGGCCCATCCTGAGCCCAGGATCGGTGCATACGCCCTCCTGCCTTGGCCAGGAAGGCATATGCACCGATCCTGGGGCCAAGGATAGGCCTGGCCAGGACAGGTGCATGTGCATAGTTCCCTTCGGCCGAATTATCTCTCGGGCGCCGCGGCCTTCTCAGAGTGCTCTGGAGCGCCCCGAGAGCGCTCTGGAACGGATTCATCCTCATCCTAGCCCCGTTCGATGCCCCCTTCCCTCTCCCCTCGAATCCTCCTCCTCACCATGCCCCTCCCCCACTCCCCCAGACCCCCTTCGGGTCATGCAAAAAACACGACGGGTGTTTTCCCAATCTTTGGCCTCGGGAGCCCTCACCAGCACCCAGGACTATCAACGAACGACTCGGGATGAAAAACCGGTCCCAGGGAACGGGTCCAGAAAGCTGGGTCCTGGTCATGAAAGAATCGTGACGTCGGGGGTCTGCCCCGCCCCCCCCGCCACCGCCTCGACGGGCCCGGGCGCCCCGGCCGCCCACCCCTCCCCAGACCCCCGACGCCATGACGTTGCTCCTAACGTCGACCCCCGGAGGTCTCGACTCCCTGACTCCCTCCCCGGGACCGGTCGCTCTCATCCTGAAGCGTCTTCGAGCGCTCCCACGGCCCCCCCGAGAAGCCAAAAAAGGGCGCAAGACCGATCGGGATGTCTCTGCATGGCCCGAGGAGGGGTCTGGGCCCCGCGGCCACAGGCCTGCGGCCGCAGGTGCAGCGGCATCCCGCGGCTAGTCAGCACCACGAAGGCCGGCGTCGGCATGCCCAGGAGCAGCCCCGTCCGGGCGCCAGCGTTCCCCTCGCGGCGCTCGGAGGCCTCGAAGATGGACTTCGCCGGCGGCAGGTTGCTCTCTGGCCGCCTCTGGAGACTGGCAAGGCATCCCGCCCGCACCCTCCCATTCCTCCCCATCCCGCGAAGCAGAGATCCAACGCATTGGAAAGATCAAGACGGAGGTTTTTGCAACGTTCGGCCTGTATAGGGGCCCTCACCGGGCCGCGGGACCGACAAAAAACGACTCAAGACGAACAAAAACAAGTCCTGGGGAATGGGTCGAGGCTTCCGGATACCCCGTACTGAAGAAAAAGCACGGCATTGGATCTCTGGGTCCTCCCTCCATTGCCCCCATCCTGCTCCCACTCATTACCCTTTGCCCCTCTTCCGCCCCTGCCTCTGCCTTCCCCCAATCTCCCTGCTTCCCCTACCTTCCCCTAATTACGTACCTCCCCAACGTACCTTTATCCCTCTTCCTTCGACTGCCCTTGTCCCACTCGTAGCCCCCGCGGGGAAACAGATGGGGCGGATACCCACACAGGTGGTCGTGGCAATGGCAAATCCAGCCTGTCGCCGACCGCGGCGGGAACCTTCGGCGAGCCAGCCTTCAGCTCCTGCACCTCCTTCTCGTACGCGCGCCTCTTCCTCTTCTTCTTCCCCACGTTCTCCCCCTCCTTTCGGGCGGGACCAGAGCACACCCATGCCTCGATGACCTCCCTCGCCGCCACGACCCCCTGTTCACCCCACCGAGATGCCGAGGCGGCCGAGGGCGGGCCATGGGGCGCTGGCGGAAGGGGCCATCTCGCCGTAGAGAGGAGGGAAGCTGGCCCTCCGGCGGGAGGGGGCGGACCTAATGTATACACCCCTTCTCCTCCTCCTCCTCCTCCTCCTCCTCCTCCTCCTCCTCCTCCTCCCCTCCTCCCCTGCTCCCCTCCTCCCTCTCCTCCTCCTCCTTTTCCTCTGCCGCTGCGCCCTGACCTCTCCCAGGGCGCGATCCCACAAGGATTCCGAGGCGAATCGAGCCGCCGTGGCGGCGAGGGCGCCCAAGAAGTTCCCCCCCAAAAGGCGACAAGCGAGGGAGAATCGGCACGCCTTTCCATCGAGCGCACGCTGACATGGATTAGCGATCCGTGAATCTGGCGCGTGGGCGCCAGTAGATCCACGGATCGTTACACGGCGCCAGCGCCGCCCGACTTGGCTCAGGAACGCGTCGAAGTCGCTCGGAAACGGACCCGTCGCTCATCCGCGCGCCTTCGTCCGAGGCGCGAAGGCGCCCCCCCCTTGGGCCCTGGGACCTCCTCCGGCTCTGCCTCGGCGGGCTTCCCCGCCGCCGCCGCCGGCCCCCTCCGCTGGCGGCACCGTGCGCGCCGCCTGCTCCGGGGGCCGAGGCCGCCGGGGCCGAGCCGTGGGCGGGCGGCTCCCCGGGCCCGGCCTCCGCGGCGGGCCCCGCCTGGGCGGAGGGGGCCTCCGCCATCGCGACGGGCGACGCTGACGCGCTCGCGGAGCTGGTCGCCGCTGGGAGGGGGGAGGGGGGGGGGCCGCGGGAGGGCCGCCCCTGTACTGCTGCAGACGAGGGAGCAGCGGCGGAGGCGGCGGCGGCGCGGGAGCGGGGCGCCGGAGGTGGGGGGGGGGCAGCAGGCGGAGAGAGGGGTCATTCGGGAGAGGGCAGGGTCGGGGGGGCAGCTGCGGCGGCGCGGCGCAGGGGCGGGGGGGAGGGGAGGGGGGAAGGGTGAGGGGGGGGAAGCAGGGCAACCGTGGCTAGGTGGGCCTGGCGACCTGCCAGCCGAGACCCGCCCGACTCGTCGGCAGCCGAACCAAGCCCTGCAAAGAACAGAAGCCCGCAACCGCAGCAAAGGAAGCCATGTCGGGGCCCTTCCCTCGTGTTTGGCTTTTGGGGGCTCCTGGGGGGCGCTCGCCGCCACGGCTGCGTGAGGTAACCCACCCCGGGAGAGGTAAGGCGAGTAACATTATCTTGGTTTCTTCGATCGCGCAAAAACTTGGGCTCTGAACACCCATCCTGAAACCTCGGCGTGGCCAGAGGTCCTGGTCATTCTGAACTCGGACGCGCTCCCTCCCGTGCAAAGCGGGCCTCTCCTCCCCGCAACCACCCAGTGCACTCGCTGAGCTTAGTTCGAGCATGTCTCCCTGCAGGCGGATGTTGGAAGACAAATGATAAATAGTCCACACAATACAAGAAAGTTAAGAAATCATAAGAAAATCGTTCCCGCACGATGTTTTGAATATTTGGGAAGCTTCCTCCTGTAGAGGAATATGTCCGACTCAACGCTGAGCCGTGCTGTGGCCTCAACTCCAGGAGTGGGGAAGAGGGGGGGGCGGTCCTGACAACGGGAGCCCAACGGAAGCTTCACGGGCGGTAGCGCTCAAGGCCGCCCAGCCGACGCCCCGTGGCCCGCGCCGCGTCGCCCTGCAACGAGGCCGACCGGCTAACTGAGCACCTTGCGGCGGGCCTCCGGGAACTGGCCCTACAGGCGGCCGAGCGCAAGAGCGACCCTTCGTGGGCAGGGGTGGCCTCTGGTGCACGGGCGATGCGGCAGTGGCGGCTCGCCTCCTCCTCCTCCTCCTCCTCCTCCTCCTCCTCCTCCTCCTCCTGCGCCCCTCGCTCTCGCCCTCCTCCTCCTCCTCCTCCTCCTCCTCCTCCTCCTCCTCCTCCTCCTCCTGCTGCATTCCTTTTCCTTATAAATACCTTGTCCCTGTCGCACCCCGAAGCAAATTTGTAGGGCCCCCTGCGCCTCCCGAGGGCCGGTCCCTGCGACGTCCAGTTGCGCTCTTCGGCCCTCGCACCCCCCCCCCGGGCCCGGCCGCGAAGCCCGAAAGGCCCGCCCTCAAGGGCAGGCGCTCGCCCCGGAGAGACCGAGGGCGCGGGGTTGCGGGCAGATGTTGCGTGGTTGCGGGCAAATGGGGGGGCGGGGTTGGGGCAGCGAGGAGGCCGAGGGCGCGGGGTTGCGGGCAGATGGGGGGCCAGGGCCGGAGTGGCGGCGGGCCTCCCCGAACCTCAACCGAGGGCGCGATGGCGCCGGCAGAGGGGGGGCGGGGGGCGGGGCCGCAGTGGCGGCGGGCCTCCCCGAACGGCAGGTTCGGGAACACGAGCTCGAGCGAGTCTTCCGCGTCCTCCGCCCGCGCCTTGCAGGACCGCTGCTGTCTTGGTTGTCCGGGGCGAGAAGAAGCCGCCGATCGGACGAGTGAAGACTGCACGGGAGGAGGAGGAGGAGGAGGAGGAGGAGGAGGAGGAGGAGGAGGAGGAGGAGGAGGAGGAGGAGGAGGAGGAGGAGGAGGAGGAGGGAGGATGGAGGAGGAGGAGGAGGAGGAGGAGGAGGAGGAGGAGGAGGAGAGGAGGAGGAGGAGGAGGAGGAGGTGTCGGAGCGCCGTATGTTCTGAACGCGCCCCAGTTGACGAAGCCCGCACCAGGGCAAACCCACGGCAAACTCCACGTCCCAGGCGGAGCTTACCCTGGTGGGCGAGACGCCCTCCCCAAGACGTGAGGCCGCGCGTCGGAACAAACGGCGCGGCGACATATAATCCAGAAAGCTCTCATTTTAGGCATCTGGGCCAGCTCCCTGAAAGTTTCTTCAAGCAAACCTAGGACAAATTCTTCGCTTGACGCTGGAGGGGCGAACGTGCTCAAGGATCTGGACCTGCTTTATGGCAAACGGGTCATGACACGCTGGTCCAACTTTTCGGTAGGAACCTAATCAGATGCTCGACTGTAGTCGTCTCACGCAGGCAGCTGGGACATCCTTCCAGGCGCCAGTCTGGGAAACTCAACCGATCCTGTGATACGTGGCAGGCAGCGAAAACGTGTCCGCCACGGCGTTGTGCCGCAGCCAGCTCGAGTGGCCCTCTGGATCCACTAGTTCCCCAGGTGCGACGTCGCTCTCACTGCGAAGCCGCAGGGCAGACCACCGCAACAGGTGCGTCCAGATTTTGTTGCAGGTCCTTGTATCTTATGTGTCCTACTGTAGGTGATGCCAGGGGCAAAATACTCGGTGGAACCTTCCAGGACAGGAAAGCCCAGAACCGAATCGAAAAATCGGATCGGCGATCGAAATGAATCGGATCGGCGAAAATTGGCAGCCAAGTCGGGAGAAGTCGAATCGGCGAAAATCGGCAGGCTAGTAGGGCCTCCATTGAAAAATCGAGATCCTATCGGAATCCGAAGTCGAATCGAATCGGAGTCGGAATCGACTGACATCGAATCGAATCGAGTCGGAATAATCGAAACGATCCCTGCTTCCGCGCCCCCCCCAGGATTCCCCCCTCCTATCCCCTCAATCCTCCCCTCCATAACGCGCAGGGGCGGACATGCTCGGCAGGTGCACTGGATATGCACAGCAACACCACCGCGCAGACTGCAAACAAGGCCAGGGCGTCCGCTTGGATCATTGCACGCCTCCAACCTGCCGTTTTCCATTACATCCTGGTCGCCGGCGCCGCAGCAAACGCACGTGCAGCCGCAGGCCGCAACACGGTGAATGCAGAACTCAAGCTCAAAATCGGAGTACATCGACAACGGTGCTGGACATGATCTGGCGCCATTTTCAACCATTGCTGCTACGGCTCGGAATGCTCCCAAAGAAATCCGAGACTACGATCCACCTTAACCTGGTAGTTCCGTGCGCATGCCAGATCCGTAAAGGTTTTCATTGGCGCTCTGAGGTAGCGTTTCACGGGCACCTGCCTGAGCGAGCCACGTTGACCCTGGCGCGCTGCCAAGAAGCCTATGGACCGAAACGCTACTGGCGCAGTCGAAGCCGCGCGCGCGAGAGAGAATGAAACGCCGCCGGGAGTAGATGCGCACTGCAGGCCCATGTGACTCGTGGCCCTGCCGACCCGCATCAGCCTTCTTGGCTAAACGCAGGAGTGACCCTGAGTAAGAGTGACCTTTGGTGCGCGGCTTTTGGGGGGCCGCGGGGGGACCAAACACAGGCGCGCAAGGCGCTACTATCGCATCGCGTTCGGCGATCGGGGGGCCCCACTGAGCCCGCACCAAAGGTCACTCTGGCGAAAGGTCACTCTCACGTCTAGTCGACCTTCGCGGTGCGCCGTTGCTTGCCAGCGCGGGCGGCAGACGCCGCAGCATTGCGAACCGGCACGTGGGCTTGACAAGCGCCTGCGCAGCCGATAGACGTGCCAAGGGCCAAGGTCGCACAACTCCCGCTGGAGCTCGCAGCACTCAGCAGGGGTGCCGCCATGGCAGTGCACCTGCCCGCACACTGCGGTGCAACGACAGTAGTGCAGCTCCCCAGAGGTCCGGTGTCGTGACTTTTGCAATGCGGGGTCGCCGGAAGTCTGGACCCATTCCCCAGGACCGGATTTTCATCCTGAGACGTTTTGTTGTCGGTCCCGCGGCCTGGTGAGGGCCCCTATAGAGGCTGAAAGTTGAAAAAACAACGTCCTGATTTTTGGCAACGCGTTGGATCTCTGGGTCGCGAGCTTTGTCACTCTGCTGTCGGGGCCCTCGCCTGCGGCCCTGCCCCCGCGAAGCTCACGCACGTCGAACTCTGCAGTGCTGCCACGTTGGACTTTTTGGTCGCAGCGACCAGGGAGGCGCGTCGTTGCCAAGTCTGCGGCGGGTTGCGCCCCTCCTCCTTCCCCGCCCTCTCCTCCTTGTCCTCCTTCTCCTCCTCCACCTCCTCCTCCTCCACCCTCTCCTCCTTTTACGCTAGACCAACCGAGGGTTACCCTGTGGCGTTTATCCTCCTCCTCCTCCTCCTCCTCCTCCTCCCTCTCCTCCTCCTCCTCCTCCTCCTCCTCCTCCTCCTCCTCCCCCTCCTCCTCCTCCTCCTCCTCCTCCTCCTCCTCCTCCTCCAGCTCCAGCAGGAGGCCCGCTCGGGCGGGTGGTGCTGGGGGGTGACCTGCTCAGCCCGGGGCAGCGCCAGCCGCCTCGGGCTCCCGTCGGGGGCCGTGCTCCGCGGGCCGCGCCCGCTCGGGGGCCGGGAGTGGACGCCCCGGCGGCATGGACGCGCCCTGCGCGGGGGGCCCGTGCCCAGACGGCCCCCGCGCTGGTTTCCGAGGCCGCGTGGATCGTTCAGCCTCGAGCGACCCGCGGCCCCTCGATCGCCGCATCGCTCCCATGCTGGCCGATGCTGGGCCCCTGGCGGCGGTCTAGCCTGCCCGCCCACGGCGAGGTCGCCGCCGCGGCGACACGGCACGGGCCTGCCGCCCGAGAGGTGCCGCCGACTCGTGCCCCATGCATCCGCAGCGCACAGGGTGCGTCAGGGCTGAACCTAAACGGTGTTTGTCGTTCTCCGCCTCTACCACCAAACAAAGTCGAAACGAACACGGCCCACGAAATCGCCAAAAACACCGTTTAGGTCCAGCCCTGGTGTGCGTCATCGCATCTTCACCGAAACTGGCAACGCGTTTGCGACGTCCTGTGGCGCACGCTCTCTCTCTCTCTCTCTCTCTCTCTCTATGACGCACCCTCTGCGCTGCGGAGGCGCTGGGGCTGCGTCGCTGGCACCTCTGGGGCACGTGGTGGTTTCCGGAAACCCTGAACCCAAAAGTGCCGTCATCTCTGGGGATCGAGGTCGGCTTCTGCTTCCTTTTTTTTCAACCACTGCGCCCAGGAACCTCCAGGAAAGGACGCTTCGTGAGGGGCCTAGGGGAAAACCAATCGAAATCGGCGCGTTCGAAAACCTGTGTTCCGAACGGAAAACCCACTAACGGGTGCGCGTGTGAGCAGGGACCGACCGCCCCGGCATTCCTATAGTCCTACCACAAAATGTCCTAGAACCCAAATATGTTCTAATAACTAAATCAATGTTCGTAGAACATTAACCCGATGTGAAAAAACAAGACAGTCCCGGCCAGAAATGTTCTAAGAACATTTCGTGGGAGCCACAAAAGGTTCTCAGAACATTGTTTGACAGGACTATAGGCGAGCCGGGACGCTTCGCCACTGCTTGGGTGCAAGAACGAGCGGAGAGGCTTCTGCTTCCGCCGGCTTCCGCCGGCGGCCTCGCGGCCTCGTTTTCCTCGCGCCGGCCGTCCACCGCCCCCCCCGCCGAGGAGGAGCCGACAGCTCCTTCGGCCCTCGAAGTCCAGGCCCTTGGCTTGGAGCGCCTCTCGTGCTGGCCTCGGCCCCTGGGCTCGCCCCGCCCCCCTGCGGTCAGGATCTGCGTCCAGCGGCGGGGGCAGGAGGAGCAGCGCCAACTTCCTTTGACACCTCGGGGTCGCTCAGATCTGCGAACCTCTTCAGAAGCCACTCCTGCCGCACAGAACTCGCACTCTCACGCGGCCGCGGGCCCCGCGCCCCTGCGGCGGCCCGCGGGCGCCCTTGTCCCGATGCGGCCTCGGGCTGCCCAGCGGCCGAGGCCGCGCACCACGCGGCGGGCGGCTGGGACGCCCCCGCCTCCGGCCCACCCCGCGGGGGCCAGAGCTCCCCCCCCCCCCGCTCCGACCACCGGGAGCTGAGATCCCCCCCGCCCTGGCCGCCCCCTCGTTCCCTCGGCCCTCCTTCGTCCCCGACCAGAAGGAGAGGGCGGCGAGAGAGGGAGAGGGGGAGAGAGAGAGAGAGAGGGGACGAGAGCAAGGCGGGGGGACAGGAGGGGCCCAGGGGGAGGGCAGAGGGAGGCGGAGGGAGGCGGGGAGAATGCTGGAGACATGGGAGGAAAGGCTGGGTTGGTCAGCGTAGCGAGCTTCGTAGAACGCGGGCGTCTTCAGCGGCAACCGCGCTGGGCACAAGCCTGGAAATTCATCCTGTCGCCTGCACGGCGCCACTGCTCGAAACGGGGGGAGCCGGACGAGGGGGCGGAGGAGGGGAGGTTGCAGGAGGAAGGAGAAAGATGAGGATGAGAAAAAGGAGGAGGCCTCGTGGCTCAGAGAAGGAGGAGTAGAAATGGAGGAGGAGGGGAGGAGGAGGAGGAGGGGGAGGGAGAGGAAGAGGAGGAGGAGGAGGGGGGGAGGAGGAGAAGGAGGAGGAGGAGAAGGAGGAGGAGGAGGAGGAGAAGGAGAAGTAGGAGGGAGGGGGGACGAGGAGAGAAGAGGAGGGACGAGGAGGAGAGGCGGACGAGGAGGAGGAGAAGTAAAGGGAGGAGGAGGAGGAGGAGGAGGAGGAGGAGGAGGAGGAGGAGGAGGAGGAGGAGGAGAGACTGAAGGGAAGCGGAGGAGGAGGAGAGGGA